CTATACACATTTGTCCTACATTGTCTGCTCGGGGAGGGGAAGGACCACATCTGTTTATCCACAGTGTGCACTCAGCTCCCAGCCCAATCCCAGCCCTTATCGAATGCTCCATAAATATTGGTCGAATGAATAAATGAAAATGCCTGCGGTCCAAAGAGTCTCAACCTAGGATCAGCGGGTAATGTTCCGTCCTGGGGAATAAAGAGGAACTCGGTTTTGCTCAAACGAAAAAATGAAGGCAGGGCGCCTGGCTGGCTCAGTCAGTAAGTACAGCATGTGACTCCTGATTCCCGGGTTTTGAGTTCAAGCCCCCAAGGTGGGCGGAGCTTACTTAAAAAAAAAAAAAAAGAAGTCCCATCCATAATGACAATTCCCTGGTCTTCTAGATAAGTGAATTTGGGCACGGAGAACCGAGGGAGAGACAGTCTGTTAAAGCAAACCCAATTACCACCCGGGAACATTTGTTGCCCTGAGGCCTTCGCTACCATAACAACACCGTGTCACTGTTAACTACAGCCTTAGAGGGTCTTGGCCCTGTCAAATATGGAAAAGGATGTCTTCATCACAAGCAGGCTGTGTGCAGACTGACTTCCCTAGGGAGACTGGATTAGGGAAGGGAGGTAGATAAGTGGAGGAAGGGGGGAGAGGAAGGGCAGGAGTGGGAGACGTGCTATTGAATCAAGATGAGGGTGATTTTTTTTTTAAAGCAATTTTCAAAATGTGGTTATTTGACTGTTTAGTTTGGGTGGTTATTTATAACCCCAGCTGCAGAGGCGGGAGCTCTGCCTGAGCCTGCGGGGGTCTGCCCAATCCCTTCCCCTGGAGGGGGGTTGGGGAGGGGCGGTAGACAAGGGGAATACAAGAACCAAATTCGCAAGGGGCCACCAAGGTCAGAGAAGTTCCCGGGCCACCTCCGGGAAGAGCAAGAAAGGAGTGACCCTTCGTGACTGCGCTGACTCCATTTTTAAGGCAGCTGCACATGAAAATATTTTCAGATGAGTTATGGTCACATCAAGCAGCCTCCAGGGTTCTCCCAAAGGGATAGAGACTAAGCCAGTAAGTACCTCTACTTAGAAGTTACGAGATTGTCCTGGCTACCCTAGCCGCTAAAATGGTCAAAGCATGCTTCTCCACCTTACAGGCCAGCTCCCTGCACACAGAGAAAACGACTCCCTCCAACCCCTCCTCGACACATCACTGGTCAAAAAGCAGGCTTAGAGGAGAGAGGGTGGCTGGTTCTGTGCAAGACTTTCCTAACTGAGCCAACACTTGGCAGTCGCCCCTGCATTTATGGAGCCCTTTAAGATGTCAGACAGCAAGGGAGAAGCTGGAGACGGTATAGCCACCCAGGCAAGGCTCCCAACCTCCAGGAACTCCCAGATCTTGGAAGCAGAGGATCAACAACTACACTTTGCACCTGAAATATGGTACCTATCATTTTACTGGCAAGGGGAGCATTCTAAAGGAAGTTGAGGGATCTTTTTAAAAAAATTTTTTTTAACATTTTATTTTCTTTTTTGAGAGACAGAGACAGAGCACGAGCAGGGGAGGGGCAGAGAGAGAGAGAGACACACACACAGGATGCGAAGCAGGCTCCAGGCTCCGAGCTGTCAGCACAGAGCCCGATGTGGGGCTCGAATCCACAAATGCGAGATCATGACCTGAGCTGAAGTCAGATGCTCACCCGAGTGAGCCACCCAGGCTCCCCAAGGAAGTTGAGGGATCTCTTAAAGAGTTTACAAATGCGACTGAGGAGACAAGATACAGATACAAGAAAGAAAATGCATAAGAACATATATGAAAGATTACCCCCACCTCTGACCCCGCTCTGTTCTGCTTCAACCCTGGGTAAGGTTATTATAGCAGTATTCTTTTTTTTTTTTTTAGTTTATTTGCGGGAGGAGGGGGGGCAAGCAGAGAGAGAGAATCCCAAGGAAGTTCCGCACTGTCAGTGCAGTGTCCACTCAGGGCTCAAACTCACAAACCGTGAGACCATAGCCTGAGCCAAAATCAAGAGTCAGATGTTTAAGCAACTGAGCCACCCAGGTGCCCCCACTCTGTGTTTTTTGAGCTGAAGTGAGGTTGAACAGACAAAAGCGAACAATCATTAGACCATGTACATATTCACAAACATTGGGATGTTAGCCATGACTAGGGTGGCTGGAATTATAAATATCAGTAACAACAGCCATTTATTGAGCACTGACTCTGTCAGGAACTGTGCTAAGCACTTTACTACAATCAACTCTTTTGATCTTTACAACTTTGTGGGGGCAGCTTTTAGTATGCCCATTTCAAAGATAAGAAAACTGAGACACAAAGTCAAACACTTGTCTAAGAGCAACGCAGAGAGAAAGTGGCAGAGCTGAGATTCAATGCCCGATTCGACATTAAAGCCCTGTACTGAGCACTGGTAGAGCTGATGAATAAAGTAAATAAGAGTTACATTCCTATTATGTTTGGAAAGGAGAAAGGGGAACAGAACGTCTACCAAATTGTATAAGGAGAAGTATAAATATAACAGTAAATGCAAAATAACATATCACTATGCCTTAACTACCTTAGAATGAATAAATCAGGAAAGACTTTCTGAAGAAAGTACATTTTATTTTTTTAATGCCTATTTATTTTTGAGAGAGAGAGACAGAGTGTCAGCAGGGAAGGGCCAGAGAGAGGGGAAGACACAGAATCCCAGGCAGGCTCCAGTTTCTGAGCTGTCAGCACAGAGCCTGATGCGGGGCTTGAACACATCAACTGTGAGATCATGACTTGAGCCGAAGGCAGACACTGACTGACCCACCTGGGCGCCCCTGAAGAAATAAGTTTTAAAGAAAGTTGGGAGATGCATCCAGGGAGGAGGAAAAGCCTGTGTGAAAGTGTAAAGGCAGGAAAAACTGTGGAACTACCTATGTTAAGTCTGGCGGAGGAGGGTGGAAGGGGGCAACTTATACGAGAGGCTTTGAAACCGACATCAGTTCCTGCTTCAAAAGCTAATTGTGCCATGATGAAAATGACCCTCAAAGTAAAGATTATATTTGATCCAGAGAAAGAAAGGAAGGGGGAAAAAAAAGCTTTTCGGGTTCTCTCTTCCCCATTCTAAATATACCTAGCCATTCCCACTTTCATCTTAAGGATACATTTTCCTTATGACCATCTTTCTATCTTATTGATGTTAAGTTTTTTTCATCTTTCTTCCAGAGTGGCCATTTTCCCAGGATAAGAATCATGTTTAAATGAAACTGTAATTCAGCTGCAGTGTTCGAGAATCCAGTGTCAGAGATTAATGTTGAACGTCGGTAATGCTGGTGTTTGTATGATGAGGGGTTAAGTCACAATGTGATCTTCTAACATACTAATTCCCAGGGAGGGACATTGCACCATCTTTGAGTGCTATCCATTCAGAGACCGTGAAAGGGTAAACATGTTTTGATTGACTAGCAAGCATTTACTGCGCAGAGAGGGCAGCGGGCACTTTTAAGGATGAGACACAAAACTCAGATATGCCTTTACTATTAGTCTGGGAACCAAAGCATCTAAGAGTGACCGCAGGAACAAACCAGAAAGTGCAAAATAACAGTAACAGTGTGAAATTAAATGCTGAAGAGGTACAGAAGGAAGAAACGTGAGCCTTTTTCCAACAAGTTCTTATTGGCAGTTCAGCCTTAAGTAGGTTATTTAGAAGTATTTATACTAAACACTAAAAGCTAAATACTAAATACTGAAGGCTGCCTGTATTTAGCACCGGCCCAGAATTCCCCCGCCCCCAGGAGAGTGCTGGCTAAGGGTCTGGAACTTTTTAACTCTTCTTCGGGGTCCTCTGTTTGGTGTATTCATCAGATGTTTACCTTCCCCTGCTTTAGCTCTGTTCTAGGGGGAAAACTCGGTTGGCCTCAGGTAAAAGGTGGGGGGGGGGTCTAGTATTCTAACTTAAGGACTGAGCATGCCTTGATTCTATCCGGTCTCTCTTCACCAAGCTCTGTCCTCGCAAAAAATCATTTCCTCCAGCGAAGTTAAATCCTCAACGCTTACTCTCCATTTGCCAGCCTTTAAAATGGCTCTTCTTCTAGCCTTATATCCTCCACCAACTCTTCCTTCCTCTCAAGACGGGCCGTATTATTATTATTATTTAAATATCTATGCCTTTTTTTTTTTTTTTTAAGCTCCAGCTTCGCTAAAAATACTCCTTCCTTGTCTTCCCTCCCCCAATTCCTGGCTCAAGCATCTAGATTTCCAGAGGTCACTTAAATGGGGTTCACTGCTCCCCCAACTCTGGTTACCGCACCCCTGCGTGTCACCCAGAATGGGGGAAGGTGGTGGGCGCTCACTACAGAGCGAGTCGGGGAAATCTCTGGAGATACAGCTTCTGGAAAATGGTTTTGCCTCTTTCCGCGACCTGAACGACTAACTTACTCGCTGTTCGCTAAGGGCAAGGACAATGTCTCCTCTACCAGACAACAAACTTCCTGATGATGGACGCTACCCTTCAGTTCCTTTTACAAGTTCCATTCCCATCACCTTGAGACACAGGATGGCTTTTTAAGATGCAATTACTTGTGCAAAATATGCCCTTCCAACTTCGAGTTTATAGGATAAACAGAAACGTCCTTTGGCCAATTAGGCAACGAAGGGGTTAAACCTCAGCCACCTGATGGATTCTGGGGGGTTTCCTTCCTCTACTTCAGAAATTAAAACGAACGGGAAGGGAAATTTTGCCCAAGGTAAAGATGAGAACAGTTAACTTCAACGGTCAGGCTTCAGCCCCAAACAAGGATGGCTACCCACGTCCACAGAAGGTGTCAATCCCCTGACTAAACATGGCTGGTCCGGGGTTCTAGTACCGCGCTACTTTCTGCCCAATTCCAAAATGGCGCCCACGAGCCTCAGCAGAAGGAGCGAGCCTCCCAGCACCCTCTCCGGCCCGGAACATCAGGTGACGCGAGCCCCAGCCGGAAGTGAAGGAAAAAGCGCCTCAGCCCGCGGCGCCTGCGCAGAAGGGTCTAGACGCTGTGAAGCAGGAGGCACTTGGGATCGTCCGCAGGATTGGGACTGCTACAGAGGCCGCCACGGAGCCCGCCGGAGCCACCGTTCCTGCTGCTGCTGCCGCCGCCGCCCGAATCGGAACTGTCGGGCCGCAGCCGCCGGCAATGCCGCGAAGGAAGGTGAGAGGAACGGGACAGAAGGGATGGCGGGTGGCTAAGGACAGTCGACTGAGCAACGTGACGCAGTTGGCCACGCCTCACAGTGGTTGGGTTCCAACTTCCCGCTTCCCCCAATCTAGCTCAGCAGCCCTCTCGTCTGTCCGTACCCGACGGAAAAATGTGGGCCCGATCCTGGCCTCGGCCTATGCTTGCAACTATTCCCGCCCTCTGCTTGCCTGGCTCGGAGGCGTTCTCCTCGGTAATTGGCCGCTGAAACGCCTAGAAGCGTATTGATTGGCTGGTGGCACCGCCCATTTGGGTCCAACGGTCACCTCCCCGCGTGCGGGGGCGGTGTCGGGGCCTGGCCCTAAGGCTCTGCGACTGGCTGCAGAGAACGATCCCTCCTCTCTCGATTGGCTAGGCTTGGCAGTCTGTCCCGTGGGGGCGCGGTGTAGCCGTAGCGCGATTGGGGGACACGAATCCCCGCCCTTCCGGCCGGTGATGCTGATAGGTGCCTGGGCGGGGTTTTGGAGCATCCTTCCTCTCCAGGCGGGGGGCACAACAAAGCCGAAGACTGGGTGGTAGAGGACCAGCGCCCACTCCCTAGGGAGCCCACTCAGGCCCTTTTGCGCCCAAGACGTAATTTTTTCCTTCGTTGCTCATTTGGACAGCGTCCAGAAAACGCAGATCGTAAAGTCAAAAACTTTCCAGAATTAGATGGGATTTATGCGGTTACCTAGGGACACCCCCGTCCCTTTTCTTTGCAGCTGAACAAACGAGGCCTAATGGAGTGCCCCAAGCCACTCCCATTAGGCAATAGCAGAGCCTGGACGACAGAACAAATCTAATTCAACAAATGTTTATTGACTCCTTGCTACTGTGCTAGTTGCTGGGGCTTCACAAATTAGTCAGATATGATCCCTGGCTTAAGGAGATCACAGTCTGATGGGGAAACAGACATATAAGTAACTGCACAAGGAGCTAGTAAATTCTCTACTTAGCAGTATATACAGAGTGTAATGGGAGGGAATTACGGGAGCAATTAAGTCTGCTCTGGAGTAAGATGGGAAGGAGATTGGTCAAAGCCAGACAGAAGAGCTGAATTCCAGGGTCAAATCAGGAAGGGTTGGTCGGGGATTCAAATATCTGGGCAACTGTACTAGATGACCTTTAAGACCCACCCCACCCCGAACTTATGACTCTGAAGTCTCTTGCTCATTTCTGGGCAGTTTACCCTTGAAATATTTGTAAAACTGCGTGGGGTTCTTGCTCATCTCTGCAGAAGTCTTTATTTTCACAGAGGTTTTCAAATAAAATACCAGCAAACCTTTTATTTTCTCCTAAAATGGCCTACATCGATAGGTGGTGTTTACGTGAAAGTTAACCGAGTGCAGGAATAGTATAGATGCCTTAGAATAGCTCCACAGTCCCTTTTCTGCGGTTCCAAATACAAAGAGCTTTTGAAAATGTAAGGGTTCTTAGTAACTTATTTGGTGGCAAAACCTGTCCTAAACTATCCTGAGGCTACTTACAATTTTTGTGTGTCTGATTTGGTGTGATTGTTTATCTATTCTGCTGTAGAAATATAAGTGTGTTTGACTCTGGGGTGTTACTCGAGGGATATACGCCAAGTATTCCCTTTCCAAAAAGCCAAAACGTTAGGAATTTCAAGCACAACCAGCCCTAAGAGTTTTGGATTAAAAAATAGAGGACTTGTAGTTTGAAGCTTGGTATTGTTTTCTAAGCAAACACTTTTCCCTTTCTGGCTTCGTAAGGGGTATAGTGTTCATGCTCCACCGATGAAAGTTATCTTTATGGCTTATCATGCTTCAGGAGGCTAAAAATTGACGAATGATTATTGAAAAGTTGATAAAATCTCTGTTCTTAAATATCTACAAGTCTTCACATGCAAGTCGCTTTTTTTTTTTTTTAAAGGCCTTTCGGCAGTCACGTGGAGAAACTTCCTGGGGAGATACCATAAGAAAGGAATTTTAGTCTTTTCCTTTAAGTTCTTTTGGGATCGGAGTTGTGGCCCCTGATATTTTGAATTGGTATATGGTTTTAAAAAAGGTGATGGCTGAATTCATGGAGAGTTCGAACAAAAGCGACTCTAAAGTTAAAAGGAGTCTAGCACGGACATTTTTCTCAATCCCAGGGACTTCAAGTGCATAGTTAGTTATGTCAGCCAGACCATTTTGAATTGGGGACTTTTATTTCCACTTTGTGGTCCTGACTAAATGTCCTTGTTTCAGATTTAGCGACAATAAAATAAGCACTCCTTCTCTTTTTCATTCGTTTAACAAAGGAACATTACTTGCAGCCCGTTCCATTTAAACGCCTTAAGGGGAATTTGGAGGTGGAATCATTTCTTAGTGTCTTCAGTATCATAATTCGTTTTATTTCCAGTGTTAACACAAACCCACCGAGTAAATGCTTCTGTGCTAACATCTGGATCTATGGTGTTACAGAGGAATGCAGGCAGTAGTTCAGATGGAACGGAAGATTCCGATTTTTCTACAGATCTCGAGCACACAGACAGTTCCGAGAGTGACGGCACGTCCCGGCGGTCTGCCCGTGTCACCCGCTCCTCAGCCCGGCTGAGCCAGAGTTCCCAAGGTACAAGGATTCATTTCTCCCGACCGCGCCTCATAGGCACCTCACTGGGCATCATATTCTTGTGTTCATGTGGAAACTGGTCCTTCGGCTTGGTGTAGACGACAGAATCCGGTAAAATGTGGAGTCAGTGCCTGCCGAAGTATCAGGTTCTTAAAAATGGTTCTCTTGGGGGTTGTCCAGTTTGTAGACCCCAAAGGACTGTATCTGTGTGGCACGCGTATGTCTTCAGCCTTTAAACTTTTGTTGAGGGTAATACAGTTTTTCCATGAGTAAAATGGGAAGACCGTATTGTTACTTTCTGTTAGAATGGTTTAGACTGAGGCATTTAACATAGCCTCTTGAGCTTTCTGGAGGAGGTTCCAGAACTTCTATTTAATTCCATAACGTAGTCAGACATGATTAGTAGATACAAGTAGTTGCATCCAACTCTCAGTTGTAAATACCTGGGATTTTGCCTTGGTTGTAAAGAATCGAGGATCTCTGTGTTGGAACGTACCTTGAAGGTTCATCTGGGCTTTGATTTGGAAGGTACCCCTGATCCCTCCTGCTTCTGCTCTGGGCTTTCTTGGGGAGGAAAGGAAGTTGCAGTTAATACACAAAGCTAATGATCAGTAGGTGATTATAGATAAAGGAGGAAGCTTTTGTAACGTGCTTCAGGCACATCAATAGTGCTGATCCAGTTCTTTACGAACACATTGCAGAATGAAAGGAAACCATCAGTTTTTCAAGCAAGAAAATGGGAACATTCTCAACAACTGTTCCTAACTTTATTTTTGAATAAAGTTTCAGCCAGAGTATTTAACGTTTCAGAGTATAGCTGTTGTCTTTTGATTGTCGATTTGTAAGTTTTTATTTTTTTTAGCATAATGGGGACATTGATAAATGACTCCTGTAATACTATAGTAGCACTATGTATTGTATGCTGTGTAGTACTGTGCTATGTACTCGAATACCATGATAGAAAAATCATAGTTTCTGCCCTTAAGAGCTCACCGTTCAGCGCAAAATATAGTTAGAGGTGTCAGCTGATTGTAGTAATGCCTTGTGGTAAGGGCTCCGAGATGTTTGTATGGCGTATTATGGAAGCTTAGAGATGGGCAGGCAGTTTGGGGCGGGTCTCCACAGTATATGCAAAGGAAGGGGCGTAAAGTTCTATTGAAGCATAATTGGCTCTGCCGGGACACCTGAAAGTTGAACATACTCATATTTCCCAGCCAGGAAGTAACTGGGCCCTGGGTCACTTGCTAGTTGTTCTACTTCCTAAGTGTGGAGTTGCACAGCCCCTAGGGGCATCATGCACAGTGTTCTCGATGTAAGCTCGCTGTCCTTAACGCAAGATGTAGACCCCATTATGAATTGAGCCCCCTGGTCGTGTGTGGGCCAGAAACCTACCTGTGTGCTTGTTTTACCCAAAAGTTTGAGAATTTCAATTTTCTTCTGTGCAGAATAAGATTTACATATCATCTTTGAATCTCTTTCTAATTCTTTTTTTTTATAGTTTTTTTTTTTAAGAAATCTCTTTTTTTTTTTTTTTTTATTTCTAGGAGAGAGAGAGAGAGACAGCGTGAGCAGGGGAGGGTCAGAGAGAGAGGGAGACACAGACTCTGAAATAGGCTCGAGAGGGAGTCACAGACTGAAACAGGCTCCAGGCTCTGAGCTGGCAGTCAGCACAGAGCCCGACGCGGGGCTCAAACCCACGAACCGCGAGATCATGACCTAAGCGAAAGTCGGACGCTTAACCGACTAAGCCACCCAGGCGCCCCTTTTTTTTTTTTTTTAAACTTTTTATTTATTTCTGAGAGAGAGAGACAGACAGAATCTGAAACAGGCTCCAGGCTCTGCGCTGGCTGTCAGCACAGAGCCTAACGCGGGGCTTGAACCCACGAACCATGGGATCATGACCTGAGCCGAAGTCGGATGCCAACTGACTGAGCCACCTAGGCGCCCCTTTTTTTTTTATAGTTTATTTTTGAGAAAGAGAGAGACAGACATGAGTGGGGGAGGGACAGAGAGAGAGGGAGACACAGACTCCGAAACAGGCTCCAGGCTCTGGGCTGTCAGCACAGAGCCTGATGTGGGGCTCAAACCCACGAACCATGAGATCTGACCTGAGCCGAAGTCGGACGCTTAACCGACTGAGACACCCAGGCGCCCCTCTAATTCTTTTTTAAAAAGTGTCATCAAATTAGAGATGTCAAAAGGCCTGCTGGGTGCTTCAGAATAGGCTTTGTTATCCAGAAGAATTTCAGAAGCTCTGTTCTTGCCGCACTCTTCATGAATCCATTATGACTTTGCTTCAGAGCGTCAGACAGGGTAATCAGGAGGAACACAAGATCCTGAAGAAAGGAAACATATATTCTACGTTCAGCAGTAGAGTACCTGCTGTATGGTGGGTTGGAATGAGGGAAGACAGAGACGTTGCAGCTAATACTTAGAAAGTTATAGATCTAGGCACCAGGGATCATGTTACACATTTTTTATGAATTATCTCACTCGCTTCTCACAACAAACGTGAGGAATGGGCAGATAGTATTTTTACTTTTTTTTCTTTTATAGATCAGGGAAACAGGCTTGGAGAGATGAACTTGTGCAAGATGCTATAGCTAGTGGTTATGGCTCAGGGGAATCAAATGGGAATCTGTCTTGATTCTGGACCCTAAAATTAATAATTCCACACTATATTGCATTTCTATACCTGATCTAGTCTCTTTAGCTTACATTTTATTTAATAAAATAGGCCTTTTAATGATTTGTTAGATTTTGTGAAATGTGAAGAGGAGGACATAGATGATAGTAAGTCATCTGGATGAGAAATAAAGCACATTTCTTTCTTTTCTCTTTTTATTATCCCTTAAAATTGGGGATCAGATTCCAGCCCTGTTCGAAATTTGCAATCTTTTGGCACCGAGGAGCCTGCTTATTCTACCAGAAGAGTGACCCGTAGTCAGCAGCAGCCTACCCCAGTGACTCCAAAAAAGTACCCTCTTCGGCAGACTCGTTCATCTGGCTCAGAAACTGAGCAAGTGGTTGACTTTTCAGATCGAGGTGAGTGAGTATAGTGTGATTTGGTCAATTACAGAGAAGAGCTGGTCAGTTTCCTCTTACAGAAGGCTTGGGGCCACTGCAGACAGATGCCTGGTACCGACAACACGCTGTTAGGTGAATGCTGTTTGCCTGATTCCTCTCTCTCTCTCTCTCTTTTTTTAATGTTTTATTTATTTTTTTGAGAGACAGAGACAGACAATGTGAGCAAGGGAGGGTCAGAGAGAGAGGGAGACACAGAATCAGAAGCAGGCTCCAGGCTCTGAGCTGTCAGCACAGAGCCTGATGTGGGACTCAAACCCACAGTCCGCGAGATCATGACCTGAGCTGAAGTTGGACGCATAACCCACTGAGCCACCCAGGGGCCCCAACCTGATTCCTCTCTTGAACGTCCGGCTGAGGACAGTCTTGCTCCAGAGTGCTCTTAAGTTTACAGTGTCTGGAGTACGTTCGATGGGGCCTGTAACAGGCTGAAGGGACTGTGGCCCTCTTACCACAGATGAAGAAGGACTAAACCAGTTTTTCTTCCATTCGTGCTTATCTGTCCACTTATCTCTGACATTCTGGGGACAGGTGACCTTCGGTAATGGGGGATGGCGAGCTGTTGAGGTTGTGACTCACTAGCCTGAACCCCTTGGAGCACAGGTTATAGACTGGGGAGTGAGCACGCTCTGCTCGTTTGCTTGCACTTTTATTTTTATTTTTTCAAAGTTTATTTTTTGAGAGAGAGAGCACAAGCAGTGTGTGTGGGGGGTAGAGAGAGAGAGAGAGAGAAGGGCTCAAACCCACGAACTGTGAGATCATGACCTGAGCTGAAATTAACAAGAGTGGGACACTTAACTGACGGAGCCACCCAAGGCGCCCCATTGTGTTTACAGTTTTAAAAGTTTGTTGTCGATGAGAAAGAATGAAATCTGGCCATGTGTAGCAACATGGATGGAACTTGAGGGTGTTATCCTGAGCGAAATAAGTCAGGCATAGAAGAACAGATATCATATGTTTGCACGTATAGGAGGGTGAGGAGGAACTTAACGGAAGCCATGGGGGAGAAGAAGGGGGGAAATAGTGGGGGAGAGGGAGGGAGGCAAACCATGAGAGACTCTTGAATGCTGAGAACAAACTGAGGGCTGGGGGGGGGGGGGGGGGGGGGGGGAGATGGTCATGGAGGAGGGCACTTGTGGGGATGAGCACTGGGTGTTATATGGAAACCAACTTGACAATAAACTATTTAAAAAAAGATTACATGGAACAGTTTAAAAAAAAAAGTTAGTTGCCAGCATTTGAAAATACAGAGATTTCATATAAAAACCCGAGTTACTAGTTTCCTTAAAAAAAAATAATGCAAATCTCCAGGAACGTGAATGAGGTGGGCCATTCACTTGCAGTATTGACTTGGAGCGGAATAGTAGTTGTTCCCTCAAGATGGACAGTCGGGTCTCCTCTTGGCCTCGCCCAGCTCTTCTAGGCATTTGCTTTACAGCCCATGATTTATAATCTACATTGTTAGATTACTCACAAGCTATCTCGAGAGTCAAGTTCATCCACACTTGCATATCAAGTCTCATGTCTATTTCTCTTTCATCTTGTATGTCTCCTGGGAGTGGAGTGGGATGGTTATTTTGTTTGTTTCATTTTATTATATTTGTTTTATTTTTGTTTTTTTGGGGGGGAAGAGTGAGAGCACGTGTATGCATGTGCTCTCCACCAGTGGAGGGACAGAGAGGGAGAGAAAGAATCCCAGGCAGGCTCCATGCCCAGTGAGAAACCTGATGCGGAGCTTGATCCCATGACCCTGGGATCGTGACATGAGCTGAAGTCAAAATTTGGACGCTCAACCAACAGCCACCCAGGCACCCCTGGATGGTGCTTTTAAAGAAAAATTTACCTCCATCCAGTTTTGATTATCTGTGGTTGGGGGTTTATGAGGAACACAGATAAGTGGAATGTACCAGGGAAACCCCAGACTTTATTGTAATCAGAGTGCAAAGTTGAACAAAGCAATGATGTTAGTTTCTCTTCGTTTTCATATATGGCGGATGAGTGGTTTCTAGCAGATAAGTGGTCAGACGTTACTGGTTAAACGACAGAGGATCTGGGAAGCCCATAAACTCTTCTGAATAGTAAACCTCAAATAAATGAACTTCATTCATGAGCTCTACCAACTGCTTTTGCTTTAGAGACTAAAAATACAGCTGATCAGGATGAGTCTCCACCGCGAACCCCAACTGGAAACGCACCTTCTTCTGAGTCGGACATAGACATCTCCAGCCCTAACGTGTCTCATGATGAGAGCATGGCCAAGGACATGTCCCTGAAGGACTCGGGCAGCGATCTGTCTCATCGCCCCAAGCGTCGTCGCTTCCATGAAAGCTACAATTTCAATATGAAGTGTCCCACTCCAGGCTGTAACTCCCTAGGTGAGTGCACCCAGCGTCACGATGCCTGTGTTCCAGGCTCTCACCCTCTGGAGTTAGGATCAGGAAGAAATGTTCCATGTTTCCTTGTTCCCTTGCCCCTTAGGTTCGTCAGTACTCCCCGGAGTATCGCTGGGTTGCCCACTTGAATGCTTTTGCCTCTTGTCCTGTTGTCCATAATAATAGACGCGATTGTGAAGAAATTCACTGTGATGCTCCATTTTGCTTATTGAGAACTTTCCCCCGTGAAAAATGTCCTCCTTTTTCCTGCAAAAACAAAACCAAAGACTAGTTATCTTTTTTTATTTTTTATTTAAAAAAAATTTTAAAAATTTTTTAAAATTTATTTCCGAGAGACAGCATGAGCCGGGGAGGTTCAGAGACAGAGGGGGACATAGAATCTGAAATAGGCTCCAGGCTCTGAGCTAGCTGTCAGCACAGAGCCCGACGTGGGGCTCGAACCCACGCACTGTGAAATCATGACCTGAGCCGAAGTCGGACGCTTAACTGACTGAGCCACCCAGGTGCCCCCAGACCAGTTATCTTCAAATAACTGATCTTACAGCGCATAGTTCAAGCCTGCTGAGCATAAGCTAATGCAGAGCACTGGTGGTGTGTAGCCAGAGCTGTTAAGGAAATGAGAAAAACAGATCTCTTCTCTCATAGCTTTGAAACTAAAAGGGCACAGAGGAGACGCTGGCCTTTGGTGACTTCAGTGGTTTTAGGTCTCGTGTGCCTCCTAAATACCAACCGGACAAGTATTTCTTCTCAGATAAATGAGTATTCTCTTTTTTTATGACCTTGACCCCTGACTCACAGATTCTTGTACTGGTTTAAACCTTATTAACGCTCCTCAGGTGAGCTTCCGTGCAAATGTGGGACTTAAGTGGTTGTCTAGAGTTGGAAGGTGCCGACTTCTGAAATCACAGGCTTTTCTCCATCGGGTCTGCTCAGATTTGTGAATCTGTGAATGTGGCATCAGGTTCAGAAAAGGTAGAACAGAGTAAGCTGCTCCTTTGGGGGCCCACGGTATATTTTCCCTAGGATTTCATTTATTTGGATCTTTTCCTGGTCTTAGCACTAGCTTCTCAGGTGATTTGAACTCCTCAGAATGCACAGAGCATTCCTCTGACCATCACACCAGCCTTCATTCTAAGAAGATAATTGCTTCAATCCTAAATCTGTTTCCTTGCGCAAATAACGGAAAAGTAAGACTACCCCTCATCCTATAAACACCAGTATTTAAGAGCTACCTAACGCGCTTTAAGAGATAAGGGGATCGGCTTGCCGCACAGTAAGGGAGGGGACTCCAGCGCTGCCGGTCACCATCCATGCAGCCCCCAATTGTTCCTTTTAGGTACTGTGTTTAATTAGGGATTCGGTGCGTATTTATTAAACGTTTGCTATGTACCAGACGTCATTTTAGGGTGTAGGGATGTAGCTGTGAACATGTCAAAGTTCCTACCCTCATGGAGCTTATAGTCCTAACAGGGAAGGCAAAACAGATCTACCATATGTCAACTAGAGATGGTTCTTTGGAGAAAGATGAGGGCGTGCCGAGAGGGTAAGGCGTTGTGCGGCCGTACAGCCCTGCACACCCGCTCACAGACTGGCGCCGGAGGTATGGGCCGGGAGTGTGCTGAAGCGGGTCGAGGTCCATGTAGGGGCCAGCATGCCCTAGGGCAGGGCAGCTGCAGGGACGGGGAGATGAGGTCAGAGCCGGGCCTGACTGCGTGTTACTTACGCTCAGGCCTTAACCCCCTTAATGGAGTAGACGAGAGGACAGATACAAATCTGTTGCATCAGAGGCAAGTGTACTGTGACTTCCGGTGTCAGTGTGCTGGCAAAGTTTGAAAAGTATGAGCCGAGCTCCCCATATTATTTTTGATAAGGGAGCACCTGGCTGGCTTGGTTGTAGAGCATGTGACTCTTGATCTTGGAGTCATGAGTTCAAGTCCCACATTGGGCATAGAGATTACTTAATTAAAAAAAAAAAAAATCCATTGCCAGAATTTTCTTTTTTTAACTTTTATTTATTTTTGAGAGAGAGAGAGAGAGAGACAGAGCGTGAGCAGGGGAGAGGCAGAGAGACAGGGAGACACAGAATCTGAAGCAGGCTCCAGGCTCCGAGCTGTCAGCACAGAGCCTGATGTGGGGCTCAAACTCAAAATCCGTGAGATTGTAACTGGAGCCTAAGTCAAACACTTAACCATTTGAGCCACCCAGGTGTCCCTCCAAAATTATTTTTGATTCTGTTCCACTTTTTATGTTTGGGAGAATAATGTTAATTTTTTTTTTAATAAATTTGATATAAAAGTATTATGTGCTTGCACAAACTTAAAAGCCCCGAAATGCATAAGTAAAAGTTCTCCTTCACTCATATTCTCAGATATAAAACTACTCTTGGTAGTTTTTTTATGAATGCTTCTAGTAAGTTTGTGTGCGTGTGTGTGCACGTATACATGTGTATATATAATATATATTATATATATGTTTCTTTTCGTTATTCACAAAAGGGAAAACACAGTGGTTGGTTTGGCATCTTGGATATTTTATATTAGGATTCCTTCTTTTTAAAGAATACAGAGAATTCCATTATATTGAAAGCTTGTAAGTTTTTAAAATTGTATAGTATAAATTGACATTTAGATTATTTCTTATTTTTAGCTACTGTGAATATTTCTGTAATGGATAACCTTTTATGTATGTTGTTTGATGTCTTCCTAGGAAACCTGTAGGATAAATTTTCAGCAATGGAATTGCTAGATCACTAGATTAGCTAACTTGTTTTTGAAACTTTAAATATAGACTTAATTAGATTGGTTTTAGTTTATGTATTAGAAGACATGACTTGAATAATTTACTCAGAAGTTAGAGATGAATAATGTCTTAGAAATAGCTATAGAAATATTTCTTAGAAATAATCTATAGATGAGGTGCCTGGGTGGCTCAATCTGTTAAGCTTCCGACTTCGGCTCAGGTCATGATCTTGCGGTTCGTGGGTTCAAGCCCCGCGTCGGGCTCTGTGCTGACAGCTAGCTCAGAGCCTGGAGCCGACTTCTGATTCTGTGTCTCCCTCTCTCTTTGACTCTCCCCTGCTCACACTGTCTTTCTCTCAGAAGTAAATAAAACATTTAAAAAAATTTAAAAACAAATCTATAGAAAGAAGACTTTCTATAACATGGACGCTTTACATTTTATACATGGTGTTTCATCACTGAGGTTAGTGTTAGTGCAAGATAAATTGAACAGATCTCTATAAGCACATTTTTAATCACACAGTCTTGGAGAATCACACAGTCTGCATAACCTATTAATTCCTTTCTCCCCCACTACATGAACTATTGTTGTTCTTTAAAGCTTACTTTATAAATCATACATGATTTTTAAAATCCCAGTGTCTCTATGACACAAATGTTTTGTAAACTTTTTGGGTAAAGAGATGTATAAAAAGGAAGTCATGTTCAGTTTCCTGTGTGTTTCTCTAAACCATTTGAAAATTAGAAAAATGAAGAGATACCCCTTTAGAGAAAATGAGCTTTCTGTATTGTTCTTCCTCACATTATCCCCTCATAAGAGCTGTCCCCTCATAAGAGGGAGCACCTTGTGCTAACTTGCACTGATTTTTGTCACAGTGGTATATTAGTTTCAGGTGTACGATATAATGATCCAGTAATTTCATGCACTACCCAGTGCTCATCAAGCTACGTGTAAGTTTATTCATCTTGAGAGAGAAAGCACAAGTGAGGGAGGGGCAGAGAGAGACGAAGAGAGAAAATCCCAAGTAGGCCCTGTGCTGCCAGCGAGGAGCCCATTGTGGGGCTTGAACCCATGAGCTGCGAGATCATGACCCAATCTGAAGTCAGACACTCAACCTACTGAGCCATGCAGGTGCCCCTATACCATCCACAGTGTAAATGGCAAGATCTCATTCTTTTTTATGACTGGGCAATGTCGCATTATACACAGACACCACGGCTTCTGTACCCCTTCATCTGTTGATGGACACTTGACTTCTTTTCAATCTTTGCTGTTGTAAATACTGCCTATTAAAAAATCTGATTACAGAAGAAGCCTAAATGTTTATATAAAATCAGCTCGCTTCCAAAAAAAAGAATATATGTTATCCCATTCAAAATTATCAACATACATTCATCTGCAGGATACAAGAGTCCATTTTCTTTTTCATTTTCTGTAAGTTTCTTTTGATTGTTGAAAGAAGTTCCATTCAGATTGGGTAGCGTTGCATACTAGAAAGGAAGGAGCACTTGTTACACATGTAACTTGGTAATTTAGCACAGGAAAGTGAAATTTCACCACAAGAAAATGTTTCTGTTTGTGATTTTGTTCCTTTTTATAAATATGTGGCTTTATGATTTTTTGGAATTTGAGAAATATGTTATCAGAACAGAAGGAACTGGAGCGCCTGGGTGGCTCAGTCAGTTAAGTGTCAGACTCTTGACTTTGGCTCAGGTCATGATCTCACGGTTCCTGGGCTCGAGCCCCACATCCGGCTCTGTGCTAACAACACAGAGCCTGCTTGGGATTCTGTCTCCCTCTGTCTCTGCCCCTCCCCTGCTTGTGCGCGTACGCTCTCTCTGTCTCAAAATAAACCTAAAAAAGAAAAAACCCAGAAGGAACTAGAGTTTATATTGAACATACACAAGTATGTTCAAAGATTGCCAGATCAACCTCTGGCAAAAAAGAATTTATTAGTGGGTGCAAGTTATGGCCCTGGCAGCATGTGTGTGTGTGTGTGTGTGTGTGTGTGTGTGTGTGTGTGTGTGTGTGTGTGTGTATATGTCTGTGATCAGATATATATTGGATAGAGATGATACTGCAGAATAACATGGTTGTCGTATAGAAAATGATCACTTTGTGAGCTTAAGTGTTCTATCTCCAGATTAAGTTTTTCCCTCTTTTCACAGGACACCTCACAGGAAAACATGAGCGACATTTCTCCATCTCAGGATGCCCGCTCTATCATAACCTGTCAGCTGATGAATGCAAGGTAATTGTGTTCAATATTTGACTATGTACTTAATCCAGCGAGTGCTTTCTGTTGCCAGGCACTCTGCTAAACACTGGGGATACCATGTGAACAAAATAGGCAAGGTCCTTTTTCTTATATTCTAGCGGAGGAGACAGTAAAAATACAGTTGGGTTTAAAAAAAAAAAAAAGGATTTAAACAGATAAGTAAAAGAATTATCGTGTGGAATGAATGCTTTGAAAGAAATAGGGAGATCTGGAATATTTGGAAAGTCATCCTTAGTGCATTGATATTTTCCACTGAACGTTGATGTCGAGTTGGGGACCTTTTCCACTAGGAAATCATTGGCATAAATACGTGATCTCGGTACTTACATGTGAAGCTCTCTTCTCACGAGTCTGTGAAGACATTTTGCTTTTTAAGTTTTTTCATGATTATTTTCCTCTTTCTTTCCGTAGAATACTTTTCCTTCTTGTTACTCTCAGTCACACCTACTCTTGGCCAATTTTTGTCTTATGTTAGGACAACATAGTCCTAACATAAAAAAGAAAGAAAAATATAGTCCTAAATGACCTCTGGGATTTGGGGGTGATGGATTCAGGAGAGCCTGAGATCCTATTTTGTATGTTTAGGTTGCTGCCACCAAGGATTGAACTAATAATGGGGAAGCAAGAGTCGCAGATGTTCTTAATTAAGTGGATTGTGTGGGTAGACAGGTTATCCAACCTCATTACACCAAAGTGTTAACTGTTCTTGCGGTTGCTATTTTCTAACAACACCAAGGTCACAGCTTTATTCCTGTCTGAGCCAGCTTCCTCCTAAGAAAAATTAGAATCCCCAATGAACCCCAGTTGCCTCTGATTCAGGAATTTGTTCTCTTTCTTAACGACACCACATGTTGGGAAGTTTCTTTGCGTGTTTCGTCTTTCAGCAGAGTAGTATACTTTGAAAGCTTACATAGATTTCAAGGTGGAAGACACTTTTAGTCTTCTTTATTCCAAATCTTCTGTATAAACGAGATCATTTCCTCTGCTCTGTGTGAGAGCAAGTGGTAGGTCTTCCCCGTTAATGTTCCCATTAGTCTGAGACCAGATCCAGATCCAGACAGGAACAGCTCTGCCAATATCGGCATCAGAAGCCGACAGGGCTTTTAGGTCTTACATTCTCTGAAAATAACCATGACCTCTTTTGGGGGAAGTTGTCCTCTAGGGCTGTTGTCTTCGACTATCATGATCCGATACTATGCGTGGTACTATGCGTGGCTTTGCATCGGGGCCTTCCTCAGGAACTGCTTTTTAAATTGCTGGCTAGTAGCAATGCGAATGACTTACCTTAAGCAATTCATTTTTAAAAAAGAAAAAGAAACGTCAGTTTGGGGAAGAAGGTTGTGAAGAAAAGGAAAGCATTTCCTGATTTTTTCCTCGGGCGTGTTTTCTTCTTTGCAAGAGAAAGCAGGCTCAGCTTAATCCGTCTTTACTACTGGAACTTGGAGGATCCAGGGAATTTCTGATGGATATGTATATATCTGACAGATATAATAGTTTTACTATATTTAGGATCCCAAGTGGAAAAATCAGACTAATTCCTCACATATATTGGAAGCTCTGTAATTTTTAAAGTACTCACACACATGATTGCTCTGTTTCCCAGTGGACGATTGCAGTCCAAGTTAGGACCATTTTTATTCAGTCCCAGAGTGCTGTGCCGGACACCGTGACAGATACCTGAGGGTTGTGGGAATGCAGGAGAAGACGGCGTTCAAGGAGCCAACGTTGTCATGGGCGGGGGGAGGCAAAACACATACAAATGAGTACGTGAATGAGAATTTCAAGCAGTGATAAAATGCTGTGAGGAACACAAACCCTAAAAATACAGAGACTGGCTGTTTGGGGGTGCTGGGGATACAGCGCTGCTTCTGCTTGGGTAGTTAAGGGGGACTTCCCCCCCCCCCCCCCCGGAGGAGTTGGCATTTGACCGGAGACACGGCTGATGGCAGAGAGACAGTTGTGTCTGGATCCAGGAGGAGACGCGTTAAGTGGAAGGACAGGCAAGCACGGAGGCCGTGAGGTGGGGATGAACGGCTGGGTCTGAGGGACCGAGAGCTGGCCAGCCTGGCTGGAGCATGATGGGAAACGAAGCTGGGTCCAGACCACGAAGGGCCTGGAGGGCGCGGGCACAGGGAGAATGCCTTTATGGTGATGGCGGTGGGAAGCACGTGGAGGGCTTCCGCACGGGGTAATAGAATTTCTGTGACCACTTTTTTTTTTAAAAGTCACAGCTGGTTCGCGTTGTGGAGAATGGACTGGAAGGGGCAGAAGCTGACCCGGGTAGACTACTTGGGAGGCTGCTCTGGAGCTCAGACAGCTGGTGGCCCGGACTCGCTTTGTATCAGTGGAGATCGGAGGAATTGATCGGGTTCAGGATATGTGTTGCTGATGGATTGGACACGAGGTGTGAGACTGAGAAGAGCAGCAAGGCCTTTCTGACCTGCTGAGTTGTTTAGAAAGTGTTGACGTTTGTCGGTAGAGGGAACGTCTGGGAGGAGCAGATCTGTAGGAAGGTGTCCGTCACCGCGTTTCGACCGTGTCGAGTCCTGGTGTGAAGTTGAACAAGTCGTGGGAAGCGAGCACTCCCTTCCGGGAGAGGACACTGAAACTGCCAGAGAGCCGACGTGATCGGTCTTAGGGCCACTGGACCGCAGAGTTCAATTCCCCCGTACACTTGACCCCGGGCGTCCACCCTTTCCCTCGCGCTCCTTCGCCCCGCGTCTACACTTCCTCGTGGTTTCTTGCCTCTTACCCACTGTTCGGTGGGAAGGGTCCTGGCCCTGCATCACTGGACTGAATTAAAACCTTAGCCGCGCCACCCAGTAGCTGTCAGGGCTTCACTTCTTGGGCTCCAGTGAACGGCCGAGAAAACAGGCGCCTGGCTCCCCCATTCTTGTAGAGATCGTGCTAATGAGCCTGAAGACCCTTTGAGAGGAAAAGTTCGCCGTAAATTCAAGGGACGACCTTGAATTCTCATGCTTTCAGGAAACTTAGTCTTAGAAGCAGGTGGATTTATTGACGTTGTTGATGGTTGCAGGTGAGAGCACAGAGCCGGGATAAGCAGATAGAAGAAAGAACGCTGTCCCACAGGCAAGATGACAACAACAGGCATGCAACCAGGCACCAGGTACGGGCCTTGTTAAAGCTCCGGCCGCTCACAGTCTGAGAGCCGAGTCTTGGATCCCCTCTGCCCCGTAAGGGCCTTTAGCCGCCGCCATGCCTCTCGTTCCCCGCGGCATTACCGAATCACCGGTGTTCCGTCAGAAGCTCAGAAGCCTATTTGGGGTTTTTTCCCCCCAAAGAGTAAAATTTCACGAAACAAACACTTCCGCCTTGTAAGTGAAGGATTCCTGCTCTTTATGAAAATACTAGTAATAGTCCTGAGAGATCCTCCTGATTATTTGAAAGCCGCACTTGCTGCTCTATTTCCTCCCGCCGCATCCACTGCTTAGCCCTTTGTTGCTTTCAAGCCCCTTCGCTCCGCTGACATGTTTCCAAGGTCACCGGCAACTTTTCCTTATTAGCATCTGATACTTGTTGACTGGGTCATTTTTCTTCTATTTCTCTCTTGCCTTGGATTCCAAGATGCTGCTTTGCCCTAATTTTTCTATCTCTCAGAACATTCGTGCTCACTGATGGCGCTTAGGTTCCTAGTTCTTCCATGAATACCTTTGGTCTCTGCTCTTGCCATTTTTCTGCCTGACTGTACCTATACCTAGAAGAGATTCCATTTATCCTTCAAAGCCTTGAGCACTTTCTGAGCTGCTGTAGGAATTCGTCCCAGATCTATCGTTAATGAATTTCTTCCTCATCTGTTCCATCGGAATGTTCTCAGAATGCTGGTTCAGCCCTCATCACTTACCATACATACGTAGCTTACTGTGCGGGTGTCTGTTTTTGTGGTTAGATTATAGGGGGTAGCAGAGGAAGCCTGGTGAGGGAGAAGTTTTGGTTTGCAGCCAAGCGGATCTGGATTCGAGTACGGTGATTGTTACTCTACCTGTGTGGTCTTGGGCAGGTCGGCTAATTTCCCTAAACTTTAGTTCTTGTGACACATCTGGCATTTTTTTGGTGACTAATCCCTACCTGGTAAGGTAGTCAGCTGACAAAGTTTGTATCCCCATCGCTTGGCAGGTAATAATCACTCTGTAAGTGGCAGCTGCACTTTTTTTCATTATCCGTCTTGGGTGCTGGTCTTACTCGGTTTAAAAATTTTATTCATTCTCCTATCAGTACTTGGAAAACAGTAAACACTCAATAAATGCTTATCGAATTGAAATAATCTTTGTTTTATTCCTGTTGGTTTGGTGGGGACGTCCCTCCTTCACTCATGTCCCTTTGGGTTTAATGTTAAAAGAAGTATGAACTGACTGCAACTATGGTGGTCTGGGAACCCAATTTGGAATTTTAAAAGTCGCCGTAGTACACGCAGGGCGGCTTTAACATTTTTTCCCTTCCCTGCCGTGTTGTGTTTTGTTCTTCATTTTGAAACTTTATGACATGATGCGTTTTCTGGCTAGCTTCATAGCTCTCTCTTCCCTTTTAGGCGCCAACCGAGAGGCAGCTGCGGTATAAGGAGAAGGTGGCCGAACTCAGGAAGAAGAGGAATTCCGGGCTGAGCAAAGAGCAGAAAGAGAAATACATGGTGAGAAAACGCTCAACAGTGGGCATGAACCCTTGCAGTTGCATTCGATGGCTCTTGGTTTCTAAACTCTGCTTTTCAGATTCGCTGCTCGGGTTTCTCAAACAGAAGGGCCCTCCTCTGGCCCTGAGCGTTTCCCATCATCCCCCCCAAGTGGACTTGTTAAGAACGGGAACGGGAGGTCTTTGAAAAACAAAATGCCATTAGAATTGAGATGAAACAAATTCAGTCCTCCAGTTGTGTGTCAACCTCACTTCAGTTGTAAAAGGTTAAATTTAGCCATTTGAACAAATACCCAGGATATTGGAGATGTCTGTATAAGGAAAAAGTATTTCCACCAAGGGGTGGTCTGTGTATTTTTAATGGGAAAACAACATTCCTACCTGATAAAGAATATTAATTGGGTGATATATTCTATAATAAGATTCCTTGGGTAGTATTTTCATTTTTTTCCTAGTTTTAAAAGTAACCCACGTTTGTCGTAGGAGATACAGAACAATTAAGAACAGTACAGAAATAGGGGCACCTGGCTGGCTCAGTCAGAAGAGCATCTGACTCTTGATCTTGGGGTCGTGAGTTCCAGCCCCACATTGGGTGTAGTGATTACTTAGAACTAACCACAGTTAGCGTTTGGGGAAATAGCCTCCTGGCCTTTTACATAATGCCTCATTTATGTCATTTGGGTATTACTGTAAGTAACAGCTTTGAATTTCTGTGTTTTCATTTACATGGCTTGAACTAATTTTCCTCGATTTCATGAAAAACTCTTCATTTTTTTGCATAAAATTTTATTAAGTAAAGATTTGTCGTAAATGTGATTGATAAAGATTTATGAACGGGTTAATAAATGCTTACTATTTAGAATACCAAAGGGGCACTTGGGTGGCTCAAGTCAGTTAAGCTTCTGATTTTGGCTCAGGTCGTCATCTGGAGGGTGGGTGGGTCCCGTCTCAGGCTCTGAGGTAATAGATCTTGTGTCTCCCTCTCCCTCTGCCCCTCCCCCACTCGTGCTTGCTGTCTCTCAAAAATGAATAAACATTTTTTTAAAAAAATCAGAAAAAAAAAAAACAAAAATAGAGGGAAGAAAAATTCCAATAAAAATCACTGTCTGAGACATAACCCCCTGGGTGTTTTGGTGTGTGCTCTCTGGGTTTTTTTCTGATGTGAATTTTGATTTTTTGATGGAGTTGGAATTTTGGCTTCTTGAGTCATTGGAAGAGATGGGTTGTGAGTGCTTCGATCGTCAGCATGGCTCCACTGACGCAAAAGCATGCCAAACTATGTATTTACTTTTTTTGGCGGTCCTCCCTGCCTTGAGAATGATCATCTTACGAATGAGTGGAAACGGGTCAATGGGAGATGGCTGGTGGGCTAGTTTGTAGCTACATGCCTACACCAGACTCCTGGGTTGGTAGAGGGAGGGCTCTAGAATGGGGCCGGGTGCTGATTCCCTTGGCCCGGTTCAGGGCTTTTATCTGCTTGGGTAGATGTAGAATAAATACTACGATAATAGCATTTATTGAGTGCGTGGGTGTTAGGTGTCGTGGTTCTGTTCCCATCATTTCTAGGACAGCCCTGTATTATGGATGGCGTCTTAACTATTCCATAGATCAGAACAGCGAGGTTTAGAGAGGTAGTGATTGCCCAGGAATCTTATGGGTAGAAGGACTGTGTGAAGGAAAAACTGAAATTTATCTTACAAGCATCTACTTTACAATAAGTTGAGCTAGGTTATTTGGACCCAACCTTCCTGTTAAAAATGCTGGGTGGGATATTTTTTTTTATAACTTAAAATGTGTATGAAACCAGAAGAAATAGTTCATACTGAGAACCTACATCTTAGATAACAGTCCAAGTTCGAAAGATAACAGGGCAGAAGGGGAGGAGGGGTGCGCAAGAACTTGAAGAAATTGTAACAGCACCGAGATACTGGTGAATGGTTTGTTCATATGCTAATCGTGTGTGAGCTCTGGAATGTTCTCTCTAAGCTGAGCCATCCACTGCACTTAACAACCATTATCTTCTATCTCTGGGTGGGAGGTGGAGTCTAGGACTGAGTGGGAAGGGCTAGAATCAGAGTTAAGTTTAAAAGGGAAGTTTCCCTCGCAGCCTTCCTTCCCTGCGCAAGGATACTTTTCACTGACTTTCATGGTGAGACTTGATACTTCCTGAGGACTGCCGTACTTGTGTGCTTCTGGTTTTCTATGAATATTGCCTCTTTCTTCTTGCTTAGTATTCAGTAAAACGTTTTTTGAAGAGGCCAGCCTGTTGTGCCTGTGCACTTGGGCTGGAGGACTGCTCGGCACAGCTCACCCTTCCCCATCGCAGCTTTCCCTTTCAGTCTAAAATCTCAGACTCTTGAGTGTCAGAGATTTGGGGTTTTTGCTGGTTTGTTTTGCTTTGCGTTTAAATCTGGGAGTATCTGCCGAGGCTCCTTCCAGATCTCAAGAGTCTAGGAATGTGGAGTGCCTTTGGGCTTGATGTATTTTACTTATTTGTACTGTCATGCACATTTTCAGATGAAGAAATGGAGGTATAGAATTCTGATCCTCGAGGTGCTCATTTAGAGATAGAAGAATGAAACTCCTTTTTGAAGGTGTAGGAGCATTTTCTTTCTAGATTCATTAGGGTGGATAGTGGTGATTTTTGGCAATAACCTGATAGTGTGTCTTATGCTCGATTCCTAGTGCCTAGTATAATGCCTGGCATATAGTAGGCACTAAGTAAATAGCTTATAGTTGTGCTTGGCCCTCCGGTTGGCATTGATTGAAATGAAATAGATCAAGTTCTTAGAAGCGGAGAGAATCATGCTCTGGTTATTTTCCTAGGAACACAGACAGACCTATGGGAATACTCGGGAACCTCTCTTGGAGAACCTGACTAGCGAGTATGACTTGGATCTTTTCCGAAGAGCACAAGCCCGGGCTTCAGAGGATTTGGTGAGTATGAAAACCTTCCAGCTGCGGACCACTTGTGAAGGGCATGTGGGCCTGCCAAGAAAAAAGATCAGCAATCAGTTGGCTGGGAATTAAACGTACTTTGCTGCTTGAATCTCTGTCCCCTTCCCCCAGCCCTCCTGCTTCAAGGTGATCCACCCCATTCATATTTAAAATTAATTACCCCTCCTCCCTTCCCTTTCCTTTCCCTGTTGGGTTTTCTCTCTCCCTCTCACCTTCCGGAAGGACCAGTCCAGGTATGTGGCGGTATTGAGGTATTGACAATAGGCGCCCCTCCGTCCCTTGGTTGGGTAATTTGCAATTCTGAGAGCCTGCAGACTAGGTGAGGAGCCACTCTGTTCTCTTAACCCCCTCCAGGAACTTGGCTTAGCTGAGTGGCCTCAGCCCTTCCAGTCTAGCTCTAAAAGACTTAAAAGAGCAGCAAAGAGGAATAAAGCAAAAGGCTGTAGCAGATATTTTAGAAAATTCAGCTTCGATCTAGCCGAGTTTTGTATACGAAACTGGTTTCCTGTTCTGATCTTTAATGACAGTTTCCCACTTACTTTTGATGCCCTAGGCAGAATTCGCAACAACTTTGCTTTAAAAAAAATTGTGGTACCTCTGATTTAACAGATGAAATGTGTTGAGGGAAGCTTAGCTGAAAACGTGAACATCCTGTTAACCGCCCTCTTTTTTTTTTAATTATTTCAAATATTTCATTTACAAATCTCAAATAGACTTGTTGGGAACTTGGAAGAGGCAGGGTTTGATAGCTGCCCTGAACTGGGCTGGGCTGCTAGGCTGTGGCTGGCTTTCTCTAGTCTGCTCCAGAACGGTCCCCAGGTTAGTCTGTTTCACCACCCTGCACCTGGTTATGCTTAAAGATTCTCCTAGCCACTAAGTGGAGGTAGATCCCCAAAAGTATTTTCTACTTTTTAAAAAAAAAATTTCTTTTAATGTTTATTTTTGATAGAGAGAGACAGTGCTGCAAGACGGGGGGGAACAGAGAGAGGGGGACACAGAATCAGAAGCAGATTCCGGGCTCTGAGCCATCAGCACAGAGCCTGCTGCAGGGCTCGAACTCACAAACTGCGAGCTTGCGACCTGAGCTGAAGTCGGACGCTCAACCAACTGAGCCACCCAGGCGCCGCAGTATTTTCTACTTTATCTTGAGTTTAGATTACAGCATGAAAGCACCCGTCCATGTTTCAGAAATGTTTTCTCAGGGACCTATATTGAAAAGATGGCCCCTTATACCTGTGGGTTTCTGTCCCCATGATCCGTAAGCTTTAGAAGCAGATGACAGAGCACGTTCCAGGTACTCATTTTGGTTTCATTTGAGAAGGGTCCTGTAAGGAGGGTGGGAGACACATTTGCCTTCTTGGTAGATTGCTTTAAAATTTGGTTTGGCACACGCTGATGAGAAACAAAGTTTTACCAATGACTTGTTCTGAGATTCAAGAGACCAGGCCTAGATCATGGTAGGGAGCAGAGAGAAACCACTTGCTGTCTGTGGAGCGAGACCTGTGCCCCAGGCAGTGGACCGGGAGTTTTCTAGAAGCCTTCCCGATTATCCGTGCCCCAGTAGGCAGCCCTCCATAGTGCAGGTTTCTCCCGAGTTAGAAGCCAGTTCTGTTTTGCTCACAGCCTAGCATGGTGGCGTGTGTATAAATTAACTCCGGGCTTTTTAAAAACAAAGGTGAGCAATTCTCCTCTTCTGACTGTTTGGTTTCTTCTCCACACCAGGAGAAGTTAAGGCTGCAAGGCCAGATCACAGAGGGGAGCAACATGATTAAAACAATTGCTTTTGGTCGTTATGAGCTCGACACTTGGTACCATTCTCCCTATCCTGAAGAGTACGCACGCCTGGGACGTCTGTACATGTGCGAATTCTGTTTAAAATACATGAAGAGCCAAACGATCCTCCGCCGACACATGGTGAGTTGTCTGGGCCTGGGTTCCGCGATCGTGCTGGTGATGACCTGGGGAGCTCTAGATGCTGGTGTCCCTCTGGATAATGGATGACCTTTATCCGTGCATTTCTTGGTGGCCCCTAGCAGTGCGCTAAAGGCATAGGACATTGAAAGTCACATTTCAGGGTTGGGGGATTCAGCCCTGTGACCAGGCTCGTGTGCAGTGTAGCATCTGTGAAATAGCTGCTGTTCCTTACCCATGTCCTGTCATACACACTGCCTGCTCCTTTCCATTCCTCCCTGGGGTATGAATTCCCTCTGCCTGCAGTGTTTGTGTGTCTCAAACTAGGTGAAAACAAATGGACTTCATTAGAGCAAGGACAGTGTTGACGCCCCTTCATATCCCTAGCAACCAGCGTGGGCAGTAAATGCCCAGTAAATGGGCGTTGAATGAATGCTCATTTAAAGGAGGCAAATTATGAATTTACAATATGGGTCCTTTGGTGCCTTCTCAAGTTTAGTGCTTTCTGGTTCCTGAACATCGTCCTTATGAAAATAGGAATAAAGCTGTGACACTCACTTTGTTGCTTACTAGATAGCTTGAAACTGTTTTTCCCTAGTTGTGGAATGAAGACTCTTGCCTAAGAGCCAGGGATTTCTGGGAGCAGAGATGGGGAAAGACTGGAGCCTTCTGGGCAGGGAACCGTCCTTTCCCTGTTTCTGCAGTCACGGCGTATTTGGCTCTAAGACCTTTTGGGGTGTCCTTTCTTCTGGCCCCTTCCCCGTTATTTTCCGGGATTTCCATATTTTGAGCATCTACAGCCCAGGGTGTCTGTCCTTCAGCCCAGGGTGTCTGTCCTTCCGCTCTTCTCCCCAGCTGGGTTGGGCGATAGCTACATTTTTGTGCTCCTGTCGCTGAGCACAGGTCTGTAGAGCTGTGGCCCAGAACCGCCCCACGAGGTAAGCCATCCAGACCCCTGCACGCTTGGGGTAGAGAGGGACTGCCGGAGGGATGGGCAGGGCTGGTGGGGACACGAGGGGGGGGGACACCCCCAGGGCGTGGTACCAGAAGGACGAGTCTCCAACCGTACACGAGGACAAGCTAAAATGCCATGTTGCTGCGTGGAAGCAAGGCTGGTATATTTATTGGCGTGAACTCCTTCCCGTTTAAGTCTTTCTTCCTTTTTGTTTCTGGTTATTTGAGTGGCATTAACCAAAGAAGTAGCCGAAAAGGGCAGGAAATAGTAGTAGACAGGGTAAACAAAGGGTTTGGACAAACCTGAAGGTCAAGGAAACATTTTGTATATTCGAGGACCTACTGCGGTAAATGAGGTTCAAGAATGGAATTTCAGGAAGTGAAAACCTGTTTTCGCCCACACCTCTTCTGGTTCCCGTTGCTTCAGGGGTAATCGCTGACTCGGGCCTTCTGTGGCCATTTGGCCAAGAGTTAGGCTTCTGTTTCTAAACAAATAATCTTTATATTCATTGGGCTGTTTGAAAGAGCCAGCATGAGGATAGAGGCGGATATGGGAACAGATTGGGTGGAGCTTTCTTGACGTAATTCCAGTTCATATTTGGACCTACATGTGACAGATTGGGGCATGATTCTTGAGTTGACCAAGAGTCACAATAAAGCTTAGTAGAAAATGTTCCATGTACATACACTTCTTAAATGACATTTTAAAATGTATTTACTTAGGGGCGCCTGGGTGGCTCAGTCGGTTGGCCAGCTGACTTCAGCTCAGGTCATGATCTCACAGTTTGTGGGTTCGGGCCCCACATCAGGCTCTGTGCTGACAGCTAGCTCAGAGCCTGGAGCCTGTTTCAGTCAGATTCTGTGTCTCCCCCTCTCTCTGGCCTTCCCCTGCTCACGCTCGCTCTCTCTCCTCTCTCAGAAATAAATGAAACATTTTTTAAAAATTAAAAAATAATTTAAAAAAATAAATAAAATGTATTTACGTACAACTTTGCAAAAGAATTCGCCTGTATGCAGCAATGACTGAAGCTTCATTGAATCTGGGAGTAGGGGCACGTAGGGGGCTCAGTCCATTAAGTGACCCAACTCTGGCTCAGGTTGTGATCTCACAGTTTGGGAGTTCAATCGAGCCCGGTGTCGGGCTCTGTGCTGACGGCTCGAAGCCTGGAGCCTGCTTCGGATTCTGTGTCTCCCTCCCTCTCTGCCCCTTCCCTGCTTGTGCTCTGTCTCTCTGTCTCTCAAAAGTAAACTGTAAGGAAAAATTTTAAATGTGTTAGACACTGAAGCTGAGGAAAGGAGGTATCTTGTGCCCCCTTGTGGCCAGGTGCCCATGTAACCCCCCCCCCAGTTTCTTGTTGCCTAATTTTTTTTTTAAAGCTGCAGAAAAGACTTGCCCCTATTCCTTATGTAACAAAGGGCACACTTTTGGTGGGGGTAGTTTTTATTATTACAGGCCTCTCTTATCTGAAAAAAAGAAGACTAATGGCTAGGCGGTAACAAAGTTTACTGATAAAGGTGAACGTCAAAGTATTCCTGCCCTTAGCAACTCTAAGCTGCTGGAAATAAGCTGCTTAAGAATTTCCTGTTGGCACACGGCGTTTTATAATAAGTGAGGGTATTTTTTAAATTTATTTATCTGTCTTTTACATAGTAGATGTTTTTAATCTCCTGGGTTGAAACGAGGCCAGGATACGATCTAGAAAACTTGTTCTAAACTGCTATAAAAATACCGTAAGCAGGTTGCTATGATTTTAGAAACTTTTGTTTCACTGAAACAGAAACTCTCTCTCTCCTGCAGTACCTTCTCCAGTGTGTCCAGCTGTCTGTCTGTCATATCACCTAACTGAATCTGACCTGTGATTCATTTGTCCTTTTGAGTAGTAGTCTAGTTGGGGAAGGTTTGTGTCCCTGATGTGCATTCCATTCTCCTGCAGGCTAAATGTGTGTGGAAACACCCGCCCGGCGATGAAATCTACCGCAAAGGCCCCATCTCCGTTTTCGAAGTGGATGGCAAGAAAAACAAGGTAAGTGAACCGTGGCAGGAAGAGCAGTGGCGGCGGAATGGACCCCCACGCTTCCGACGGCGTTTGCTCTCCATCTCACCTCATGAGGAAGAGAAAGCTCCACTCTTGACCAGACTACACTCTCTGTCTCAACAGCCATGATCGCATCTGTAATTTTTAGGCCTTGATCTGGTAGGTTTAGGCATTCCTGGCCCACACGTGAATCCTCTTTCTCTGCTTCCAGATCTACTGCCAAAACCTGTGCCTGCTGGCCAAGCTTTTTCTGGACCACAAGACGCTGTATTACGACGTGGAGCCCTTCCTGTTCTATGTCATGACCGAGGCGGACAACACCGGTTGCCACCTGATTGGATACTTTTCCAAGGTCAGCGGGATCTGGGGGTTAAGCGAATGGCCAGCACAGGGTGAATGATGTTGCCCTGTGGGGACGCACATCACTGACAGGAAGGGGCGGGGCGCTCGGAAATCCATGTGTCAAAGGTTGTTTAATGAAAATGTGCGATTCTTTTATTAAAAGCTTCTGGTTTATTCATTTCTGGACTTGCGGGCTGGAGCTGCCTATTAATTATTGGCCAAGGCCCTGCCTGCTAATAACCCTTAAGCCCGCATTCTGTAGTCAGGCCAACCCTCCTGGCTTTGCCCTCTGTTATTAGCCGAGAACCAGGAATCTGTTGCTCTTGCCTGGCTTTCTAGCTGGCCTTTTTCTTGATAACGCCCCTGTGCCTTTGAAGACTGAAGGGCAGATTTTGCTTGTGACTTTTTAATACAAACTTTATTGAAATGTCATTCTTATACCATACAGATCACTCATTCAGAGTGCATACTTGAGGGGTATTTGGTGGGTTAGGCGGCAACGACACAGACCCTGGCATTTCATTACCCTGGCAAGAAACCCCTAAGCAACATTCTGCGTTTCCACACAACCCTTCCCAGCCCCTTGTTTCTAGAAGTTTGCCTCTCGTGAACATCTTACATAAGTGGAATCCTACAGTATTTGATTTGCTGTTGACCAGCCCTTCCAAACTGGGGGCTTACTGTTTGGGGTCTCCCTCCTTTCCAGCGGGCAGCCCCCTTTTAAAAACATAACACTCACAGAGTGCTGCCCCAGACCAACTCAGCAGTCAAAGCCTCAAACCTCCTTGCCTTGCGCTGTGACTATAAAGAACTCTGAGTCTGCCCCCTGAGTAGGAGACTGGCCTGGAGCTAGGGGACCCCTGGGATGAGTGGCTTTGGCCCCGGCAGATGTGGACGGAGCAGCTGTGAGCCTGACAGCCACGCCCCAGGACTGGTTAGCCAGATATTTTTGCAAGCGCCTAATTTTGAATTTATGGGACTGCAGACGCCTTTGGTTCCAAGCCCTCATGACCTACTTTCATCTGTTTGCTCTTGATTTCAGGAAAAGAACTCGTTCCTCAACTACAACGTGTCCTGTATCCTTACCATGCCTCAGTACATGCGACAGGGTTATGGCAAGATGCTCATTGATTTCAGTAAGTGAATCTGCTAAGGCCCGCACTCAACAGCGGGCCTGGGCCACGGGACTATTGTCATCTCTGTGCCCCGTGGTCTCTAGTTCCTGGCAGGCATGTAGCAAGTGAGTGAACGTGTGGAGAATATCTGAGCACTTTCCGGTGAGCCTGGTACACGCTGACCCTTCATTGTATGAATCCGGAGTTGGTCCCTGACAGTAGGAGACGGAGGGGCTAGGAAAGTAAGCTTTGCGGGATTATCCCCATTGGAGACTTAGGAACAGCACCTACATGCCTAAGGCTTCACGTCTGTTCCTGGATTGGGGGTTTCAGTTTTGTAAGGCCTTGTCTGGAGGTGGTCCATATACCCGGTAGAGGCTTCGGGCCTCATTAATTGTGTGTTCTGTATTTGGAATTTATTTTTAACCCCCGAACCAATACTCTTGGCACTTGCAGATTGCACACGCGTGCACAGCAGCAAAAAGTAAGGTGCCGCATTTTCTCGGCTGCAAACAGCCAGCTGCCTCGTTTTCAGCGTTCGTAACGTAAACAGATGTTCATCTCACGGTCCGTTAATGCCACATTTTTCATATTTTTGTGCTGTTTTGTTGCTGATTTCTCTCTCTGTCTCTCTCCTAGAAATAAATAAAACCTTAAAAAAATAAACATTTATTTCTAAAAAATGTTAACGTTTATTTTATTTTATTTTTTTAAGGTTTTATTTATTTCTAGGAGAGAGACAGAGAGAGACAGCGTGAGCAGGGGAGGGTCAGAGAGAGAGGGAGTCACAGACTGAAACAGGCTCCAGGCTCTGAGCCGGCAGTCAGCATAGAGCCCGACGTGGGGCTCGAACCCACGAACTGTGAGATCATGACCTAGCGAAAGTCGGCTTAACCAACTAAGCCACCCAGGCGCCCCTAATAATAATAATAATGTTTATTTTCGAAAGAGCATAAATGGAGGAGGGGCAGAGAGAGAGGGAGACACAGAATGTGAAGCAGGCTCCAGGCTCTGAGCTGTCAGCACAGAGCCTGACGCGGGCCTCGAACCCACAGATCGCAAGATCATGACCGGAGCCGAAGTTGGCCGCTCAACTGACTGGCCATCCAGGCGCCCCTGTGGGTGCTATTAAGTGGCCCCTAAGTGGAGTTCGGAAATGCCATCGAGAAAGGCTGAGGTGTGCCTCACAGAAGAAATAAATGCCTGTGTTAGACAGGCTTCGCTCAGGCATAGGTTGTGGCGCCGATGGCCGGCAGCTGGATGCTAACAAGTCGAAGACAGGGTTACATAATGGTGGGTTGATGAAAACACAACCAAAGGCTCATAGGACCTGAAACCCTGCATTTCCCCCTGGGAGCAGTGGTGCAGTATTCGCCGCACTTCAGAGAACGTTCAACTCCTGTATATGAGGAGAGTCCACTGTATTTTATTCAGAGTTCGCTGTCCTACAATATATTTTAGTCACAATTAGAATTCTTAGAGTTAGCCTTCCAGCATTTCCATGTTTCAACCACCTGGGAAGGGAGGCAGTGAGGAAGCAGCACGGCCTGGGCCGGGGTGGCGGGGGGAGGAGTCTCTCTGTGACTCTGAACAGGTAACAGGTAACTATTTATAAAACAGCATAAACATGTTTTTCTGGAAAATTCCAGCCATGCATAAAAGTAGAATAGTTGCATAATAAAACCCCCTGTAATGAGAGATTAGCATTTTATGACCAATCTTGTCTTACCTTTATTTCTACCCTCAATTAACCTTGTCATCTCTAACAGAGAAGGTCTATTTCAGGTTTAAAAAAAAAAACCAAACCTCCCTAAACTTAATTACCCTAAGTTACGGTATTCAGATTTCCTTAATTTTCCGATTTTGTTCCTTTAAAAAAGCACATGTAATTATTTTTACCCTGCTCCAAATAGAATTGATACGTTGGGATTGATAGATGTGACTTGTCAGTCACTTGTAGTCGGAAAGTTCACAGTCCCATCTGCCTCTTGTTTTTCTTTGCTGTTTACTTGGCGGAAGCAGGTGAGTTTCTCGCTAAGGTTTCTCAGTGGATTTTATGGACTGCGTCCCCGTAATGAGATTAGGATACTGAGATAATAATCTGTTTTTAAAAAAAATGTTTTTTAATGTTTTATTCATTTCTGAGAGAGACAGCGTGAGCAGGGGAGGGTCAGAGAGAGAGAGAGACACACAGAGTCTGAAACAGGCTCCAGGCTCTGAGCTGTCAGCACAGAGCCCGACGTGGGGCTTCAACCCACGAACCGCGAGATCATGACCTGAGCCGAAGTCAGATGCTTAACTGACTGAGCCACCCAGGCGCACTGGTTTTTTTTTTTTTTTTTTTTTTTTAAAGATCTCCAGGGACACCTGGGTGGCTCAGTCGGTTAAGCGCCTGACTTGGGCTCAGGTCATGATCTCATGGTTCATCGGTTCAAGCCCCACGTCGGGCTCTCTGCTGACAGCTAGCTCAGAGCCTGGAGCCTGGATTCTGTGTCTCCCTCTCTCTCTGGCCCTCCCCTGCTCACAGTGTCTCTTTCTGTCTCTCTCAGAAATAAATAAAACCCTAAAAAAATTTTTAGAATAAAATTTAAAGGTCTCCAAGCTAAAATGAGAAACGATGTAACGAAATGGCTTCCCAGCTCTGCCCCACCACCCTGTTCCCAACACACAACTACAGGTACCATTGTTAAATGATTCTACACATGAAACCTTGTAGAGTTTTCTTCAGGTTTCGTCCAAGGAAATGTAAACACCGCATTCTTCCCTCTGGTGTATCCCAGGGCAGCGTCCTGTGCAGCAGCCGCCATGTATTTCATCAGATGTCTGAATCCTAACGGACTGCAGAGCAGATGGCATTAGGCCTGCCCTGTCGGCATGGTGCCCTTTACTATTCCGGTGAAGTACAGTGTCTGTGTTCGGTTCCCCGGCAGGTTACCTGCTTTCCAAAGTGGAAGAAAAGGTTGGCTCCCCGGAACGTCCTCTCTCTGACCTGGGGCTCATAAGCTATCGCAGTTACTGGAAAGAAGTGCTTCTCCGTTACCTGCATAATTTCCAAGGCAAAGAGATCTCTATCAAAGGTTGGTTTTGACCCTTGGAGAGACGGTTGGTACCCAAGATGTTAATGCTGCTGAATATTTTTGGCTTTTCCACTTGGTTCTGCTCTGCTTGTAACCTGCAAAGAGAATGCCTCATTCTGTGTTTCACCTGAGTAGGAGAATAGAAGGCCCATTGCCTGTGGGGCACTGTGGAGATCCTCACTAAAGAGGCCTCAGGGTCCCAGAGCATTTGGCCTCTTGGGAATGGTTATAGGATTTGGTTTCACAAACCTGGGGTTGTTAACAAAAGGCAAGAAAGAAGACCCCTCCCCCCCCCTTTTTTTTAATGAAGTCTTTTGGCACACACAGGAGCTAAGACTTCCCTGTATGTTTACGTAAGTCTGGAAGAATTTAATCAGGACTGTCTTAGACTTTGATTTCTGTAGAGGCCGGAGTGATTTCTTGCTGTAATATGCCTCTTCTGTAGTTAGGATTGGTCAAATGAATGTAGGCTTTTCCTGAACAGGTTGGGTTGAGTATTAAAGATTCCAACCATTTGGATTTCCTTGGGGCGGGGGGCAAGGGAGCTGGGTTGGGTGGCTGAGTTCGGGGGGTCTTGGGTCTGCATTTTGGTCAGGTTCTTAGTATTGCTTCTATTTCAGAAATTAGCCAGGAGACAGCTGTGAATCCTGTGGACATTGTCAGCACTCTGCAGGCCCTTCAGATGCTCAAGTACTGGAAAGGAAAACACCTAGTTTTAAAGAGACAGGTAAAGTTTTTCTTTGCTGCTGGCCCATTGCTGAATGCCTCTTAAGGCTTCACATGGCAAATTGGGGCCTTAACACCCAAAACACAACCCTATCTTTTCTTTTTTAAAATGTTTATTATTTTTGAGAGAGAGAGTGTGAGAGGAGGAAGGGCAGAGAGAGAGGGAGACACAGAATCCAAAGCAGGCTCTGCTGTCTGAGCTTTCAGCACAGAACCCAGCATGGGGCTCGAACCCATGAACTGCGAGATCATGAGCTGAGCCAAAGTCAGACGCTTAACTGACTGAGCCACCCAGGCGCCCCCAGCCTTCTCTTCTCAATGGAGTGGGCTTACATGCACCTTTTACTGGGTCTCCTTTTTTTCCTCTCTGCACTGCCCTGATGCCTATTTCTCTGCACTGATGCCTGTTAAGCTTGTCTCCCATCTTACCCTTCTCAGAAGCTTCGGGTAAGCTCCTGTCTCAAATTTGGAGGGCCCAAGTAAGGCAGATCAGTTAAGCAGTTTTGTGTCACCCAGCGCGTGGGTCATTGGATGGTTTTCTTTGCTTGGAAAAAATTGCCCATCTGTAGCGGGCAGCCTTCCTAGACTGCAGGGCTCGTGGAAGTGCTTTTAAATTCCTTTAACAAATGCCACGTCAGGCCATGGCCCACCTGTAATCCATTTTAGTTGACTCCTGTGTGATAAGGGAAGACACATAATGATTTTCAGTTCTTACTGAGAACACAGTAGGAAGAAATGGATCCTGTAGCAAAGCGTTTTGTAAGTCAAGATATTTTGACACCTCTTTTGTACCCTAGCGTATCATTAAACTTCTGGCGATTCCTCCTTGACTGACTGACATTTTGGAATGTTAACGTGTATAAGGACATTTTCGGTGAATGCATGTAATATGTTTTCCCATCATTCTCTCCCCCCACCAGGACCTGATCGACGAGTGGATAGCCAAAGAGGCCAAAAGATCTAACTCCAATAAAACCATGGATCCAAGCTGTTTAAAATGGACCCCTCCCAAGGGCACTTAAAGTGACCTGTTACTCTGAGCCAGTGAACCCCAGCAGTAGGAATCCATACCCTAGGGATCTGTCTGTCATTTCTGTTGCTCTCGTGATTGGCAAGTACAGTATCCTCTGGGAAGGCCCCACCCCCACCCCCCCTCAGGACTGTCCTGGCTCCGAGCCCCGCGTGCACTGCAGACGCTGGTTCTGAGGAACTGCTGTTTCGGCCTCAGTGAGGTTGCCCGGATGGGATCTCCCGTAGACGTGAGCGCAGATCCCCCGTAGCACTGACCCAAGGTGTTGTGTTCGGTACTGTACCTGTCCAGTCACTGGTTCTCGTGCCCTCCCGCCCCGTGAGGCTGTGTGGTGTCTTCTGAACTTTGTAATAGTGCTTCTCGCCACCCGGTCACCAGACTTCCAGATAATGGTGGCCGCCGCCACGACCTTTCCAGTTACTCCTTCCGCGTGGGGTTTGTTTTTGTTTTTGTTTTTGTTTTCCCTTTTTCTTGGAAGAGCAGGGAAGAGGTGACACTTGTGAGTGTGCGCGAGCCGAGAGGGGTCCGATCCCTTTGGACTTTATCTCACCTGGCATTTTGCCCGCCCTTTTTATCCAGGGGCCTGTTTTTGATCAGCTTCCAGCTGATCGGGCACAAGTGTGTTTTTTTTGACGCTCCCAGGGATTCATCTTGGTAACAGCCCGAGATTTATGTGAATGAAATGGAGAGAAGGACTGTGAGGCGGTGGTTCTGTCCTTCCGAGTTCGCGGGCGGGGCTGATTCCGGGTGGAAGGAACCGAGTACTTCTCGTACTTCTCGTGGCCTCCCAGGCCTCAGTGTTTGCCCCTCACACGGCTCCCCGCCCCGTGTCACTTACATCTGCAGGTGCCAAACGCTGTCTGGTTCTCACTTTCCCTGCTGCACGCTGCCTGGGTCATCAGGCTTCCCAGACCTTCCCCTGGGAGCGGCCAGTCCGCTCTGGCACACCGCCCCCCAGCCCAACAGCCCTGGGGAAGTAGGAAGTGATTGCAAATGAGACCCGGTCTCCGCCCAGCCCGCGGCCCAGCAGGGCAGCGGCCAACCCCCCCCCCCCCCCCCCCCCCCAGCATTTGCACCTCCTCTCCGGTGCCTCCCCCTCCCTCCTGAACTGAAGTGCTCGTGCCCTTCCGAGAACTCCATCTCCTTTTTGGGATCTGCCACCATCCCCCGCCCCCCAGCCTCTGGTCTCCTATTTTTGGTTTCAAGCAAGGGAAGAGATGCTCCCTCTAATTTCCCTCCAACCCATTATAACCTGCTATCTTGGGGCAGCTTTTGATGTAGGACGTGCCACCCTCCCCACCGCGGTCTCCTCCGGCACCGCTGTCCCTGTGCGGAGCCCTCCCCCAGCCCCGACTCCGGTCATTCGTGCCTTTCTCCTGTCCTCTCTGTACACTGCTTACACTCACTGTGGCCCGGGGGCAGTCGTTCTACGCATGTTCGTGGCAGCTCCCTGCCAGTTTCAGTTCACTGTTTATTCAAAAGCAACTTCACTGGGGGTTTTCTTAAGGGGTAAAGGCCTTTTACCGAAGCTGACCCTTCCCCACACGTGGTAGAATGTGCTGTTCTGTATCTACTCCTCAATAAAGCATGTTCTCTGCTCAAGGCTGTCGCACGCAGGGGCTCTTCTTTACGTCTGGAAAGGGTGCAGACGGCCGGCCGCTTGTGGTGATTGCACTTGGGGTTTGTCTGCCCCAGCAGCAAGCTGACTATTGAGGGATGTGGTTTGTGGCTGCGGAATTATGTTTTTTTTCCAATACAGGCTATCTATAGAGGGGGTGATTGCTACAAACTCTTCTAAGCGCAGTGAATTCTCTGCCTCACTCGGTTGCGGCTAATAGGCATGCATAGCAGTGACTGCTCACTGTTCGTTTTTTGTTTTTTGTTTTTGTTTTTTTTTAAGTTTGCTGTATGCCCACCATGGGGCTCGAACTCCTAAACCCAAGATCAAGAGTCACATGCTCTACCAAGTGAGCCAGCCAGGCGCCCCAGTATTATTTATTAAGTTCATCTTCCTGTGATTTCAAGGGCCAAGGAACCAGCAGGAAGTTAGGATGGCTGGGGTACAATGGATACTTGGGGTGGAGTGGGGACAGATTGATCCCCCCTCCTCTCCAAGCTCCTTTGTTAATAATGAGCATTGTCCCCTCCAGTCATTGACACCCAGATTGGGAGGGTTTCTGAAAGGCGCCGCATCGCCCTAGAGCACGTACCCTGCACAGGGAAAGGAAGGCCGGCTGGCGCAGCTGAGCATCTGACTCTTGAGTTTGACTCAGGTCATGACCCTAGTTTCGTTCTGGTGCCCAGCCTCCTCTGTCGCAGCACAGAGCCTGCTTGGGATGGATTCTCTCTCATTCTTGGGCCCTCCCCCTCTTGTTCACTCTTTCAAAGTAATTAAGTTCTTAAAAAAAAAAGCGGGGGGGTGGTCCTTCTTAAACCCTTAGAATGATGTATGCCCATATCTCCGTATTTTAGACATTCGTATCAAAGAAAATTCTGCTCACTCATATTTTGAAAACATTGGAGTGGGTAACTGGGCCAGGAGCCTGGAATGCTGAGGCCCGTGCACTGGACGTTTTTGTGTGCACCGACTCAGCCACTGGGCACCGAGCGTGCCTTACCGAAGAGCAGAAGGAAGATTTCTCGATCTTCAACCCCTCACGGGTATGGGAACAGTGTTTACCTCCCGGGCGGTTTTGTGTAGAACTGTCCCCTCTGGCTCTTCCTACCTGCACACAAACAACTCGGCTGCATGGGCTCTTTCAGTAGTGGAACAAGTCCATAGTAACTCCCGGATCCAGCTCCTGAAACCCTCAAAATGGAAACACCTCCTCTATTTCCAGAGGGAGAAGGGAGCCCTGGCGTGTGCCGGTTGCTTCCCAAGTGAGTGGCCCTGCTGCGGGCCTTCCCACTGCCTCCGCCTCCCCTCGGCCCATGCGCTAACGTTCACACCCCCTCTGGAGGGGGGATACCTGGAGCCCAAAGCGACAGTAAGCAATGAAGGCAGCACACTCACTTTGGTCTGTCCAGCTTCAGAACCTGCACCCACCCCCCGCCACCATTTACATTCTCCACTATTTTGGTTCCATAATGAACGGTCATTCTCCCCTTTTTAGTTAGATTTCCTCACTTCAGCCACAGGCACCCATGCTTCTAGCGATTTCCATTGCCCAAAAAAACATGGAAACTTTGAGATGAAAGCAAGGACTTCAGTTGATCCTATACGCAGCAGCTAGGGGCCAGAGCCCTGAACCCAGAAGCGGAAGCCAGGCCCTGTTCAGGTGTCCATTTGAGCTGTTCAGGAAGCATCGTCCCTTCCTGAGGTTTCCTTCCCTCCTCACACCTCTGTCTCTTCCTCATGGGAAAACTGGAGCTCAGAATTCTTGCTGCCGGATTATAGAAACCAAGCCCTGATCCTCCGGGTCCAGACCCGTTAGCAACACTGTCATGTTAGTCCCCTTTCTCACAAGGGTCTAGGAAGTCAAGTAATTTTTAACAATATGGCTTCCCCTTTGACTGTTGGCTTGTTTCTTGTCCCTGCAATTCTGGGCAGATTACCTGCCCCGGGTTAGGGATGGCCTCGCACGGAGCTGATGCGAAGGCAGTTGATGCAGGTGAAGGTCAGGGCTACCTACAAAAGGCCAGTAGGAAAATAGACCACAGCTTACAGTACACATTGCTCCTGGAATATTGAATGGAATGAAAAGCATCTTAGAGGTATTTGTAGCTTCAAGGGGAGTTCTGAACCTTCCTGCGTTTTCATCTGAAGAGCCACCAGTCAGCCCAATGGCATCCAGGAAGGTGCAGATTGTGTGAGCCGTGCCGGGGCCAAGCACTGTAGCTCTCCGCAGAGACCCTTTACTTTTACTCTTGTGACCTTTTGAGAAAAAAGTCCTAGCATTGGATCTTCCGGAATGTGCGCGATGCTGATACACGCGCACATTTGTCTACAGTTCAGGAAACTCGGGCCTTCGAAGCCCTTTCTTGCATTGAGGTTAAGAAATAAGAAACCTTGGAGGCGGCCGGGTGGCTCAGTTGGTTAAGCAGCCAACTTCGGCTCTGGTCATGATCTCACGGTTCGTGGGTTCGAGCCCCATGTTGGGTTCTGTGCTGACAGCTCAGAGCCTGGAGCCTGTTTCGGACTCTGTCTCCCTCTCTCTCTGACCCTCCTCTGCTCACGCTGTCTCTCTCTCTCTCAGAAATAAATAAAACATTAAAAAAATTTTTGATTTCTCTCAAAAAATTTTAAAAAATTTAAAAAATTTTTTTAAAAAGTAAATAAGAGGGGCGCCTGGGTGGCTTAGTCGGTTAAGCGTCCGACTTTCGCTTAGGTCATGATCTCGCGGTTCGTGGGTTTGAGCCCCGCGTCAGGCTCTGTGCTGACTGCCAGCTCAGAGCCTGGAGCCTGTTTCAGTCTGTGACTCCCTCTCTCTCTGACCCTCCCCTGCTCACACTGTCTCTCTCTCTCTCTCCTAGAAAGAAATAAAACATTTAAAAAAAATTAAAAAAAAAATAAAGAATAAGAAACCCTGGTTTGCAAAAGCTTCTGTGAGCAGGTCTGAACCCTTCACTCACCCCAAAGCCTGTGGCTTGTATGCACAGGCTCATATGGCCGGGCCCACGGAGGGAGGTAAAGGGCCCGCCAATGGAGCAGGCCTGCCACCCTGTGGCTCCTCACTTCCCCTCGTGGCCTCGCACGTGTGCACATAGACACACGCGGGGTCCTGTGTGTTACTAGGCTGCCCGGAAAACTGGCTGACAGGTGTACGTAGAATTGTAGAAAGGATCTTTGGCTCTTCGGTGAGATCGTGGAATCCTCGCACCAGACGCGCTACTCCTGGCCCAGCACTTTCTGCCACAAACTTGCATCACTGCCTCTCCCAGACTCTTTCCTGCCGATGAGGGCAGTGTAATTGCCCACTTCCTCTGTGGTAGCTTCCAACCCAACGCCAGTGAGCGTCACCAAGAAGGAAACAAAGGACCGCCCGGTGGTGACAAATGTCCCTGGTGCTGAAATGCCAGCCTGTCTCCTGGGCCTCGTGCAGTGCCTGCAGATGCAGGTCATGCTGCCTCCTCCGTTTGTGAGTTTGGGGGTTTGTTTATTTGTGCCCGAGAGTGGAGAAAATGACCTGTGCTGTTGCACAACTTGGCTCCACTGCCCCTCCCCCTGCCCCCATGTTCTCTGAGATATAAACACCTTTATCCTTGGTCATTCGTGTTCATTCCAAGCAGCCAGTCCTTCCGTCTTAACTGGGTGTCCGTTTCTGGGAACAGCTCACCTTTCTATTTATTCCAGAGTTATTAGAAACCTACATTCTTGACACACACACACATTCTGGTGTGGTAGATCATCTCCAGGGCCTACACTCTTGACACACACACACACACACACACACACACACATACACACTCTGGTGTGGTAGATCATCTCCAGGGCCTACACTCTTGACACACACACACACTCTGGTGTGGTAGATCATCTCCAGGGCCTACACTCTTGACACACACACACACACACACACACACACACACACACACACACACTGGTGTGGTAGATCATCTCCAGGGCCGGCCACCAGCATTTCCTGGCTATGTGTTCCCTTCCTTCCCAGTAAGCACTGTCTTCTTCCTTCTGGAGTGTGCGCTGGACTTTCCCTTGTGTTGAGTCCTCGAATGTGGCAGAAGTGGTGTTCTGGCAGCTTCCGCTTTCGCTGCAGGAAACCAGCTGCAATGTTTCCACACCCAAAGCCTGAGCGCAAGTGAAGAGTGAGGTCCGGACGCGGGAGAAGGTGCAGAGTGCAGCCCCGAGATACCGCATGCGGCCTCGCCAGTGACCCCTGCTGGCACCACCCGAGACTAAAGAAATGCAAGTGTGAAATCCTGCTTGAAGCCGTTCATTGCCGGCAGGTGGCTCGATACACAGCAGCGGGCAAATTCAGGAAGAGAGCTTTTGAAAGGCCAGAACAGGAATTCAGTGTGGCCTCCTAGGCTGCGGCAGCTGATTGCCTGGGATTGGAGACCAGGTGTGCCTCACTGTTGTCAGCTGTCAGTCCAGTTGCTTCTGAGGTCACTTCCTGGCCTTGGAATCTCAGCAACCACCTTCCGGAAGAGGATCAGGAAGAGTGGAGAATATCCTGCCATCAAGACACGGCTTGCCACTCCCCTGCTCATCCACCAGGCTTTCCATGGCTCCTTGGATTAAGGCCACATTTATCCTGGCGTTCAAGTCTTTCCATTAGCTGACTCAGCTCGCATGGCCTTCATCGTTCCCCTACACACAGCCTCAAAGTGCAGCTGGATTAGTCTCTGCCCCCTTCCCTGTTTTTTACTGGGAAACCCTCCACTAAGTGTGTTCCATCCAAAGTATCGGTATATTTCTTGACAGCGACTGAGTAACATCCTGCTTGGGCTTTTCCTAGAGGAAGACACAGTAACACTTCCTAAAATGATCGGGATCTGGAAGGAGACTCCTGAAAGACTGTATGCTGGGGGCAGACATCCGGAAGTTTCCTACCCCTTGAAATGGCCCAGCTTAAAAGGAATTCCTTGTGAAGTCTTAACTCGGCCTGAGACTTGTCTGTATGCTCATGACGCAGACCAAGTAAGCGTAGGGATTGGGTGTTTGGACTGAAGTCCCCTCGGCTCAAATCCTGGCTCTGCCGTTTCCTGTGTGACTTCAAGCACGCGGCTTTTTCTCATCTGCAGAGCAAGGATAGTAGTTACGAAGGGAAATTGTCTTGCAGAATGCCTGATTTATACACAAATATTCATTTGTACGGGAAAGAAGACCTTGCAGTCTCCAGGAAGAGACAGATAGGAGTCCATAGGATTGCGAGTCGTGATTAGTGTGCCACGAAGGGAGGACAGGGTGTGTGAGCAGAACTGGAGAGAGCTAGTTGAGCTTGGTTATCAAGGAAGGCCCGAGAAAGACCCTTTATCTTGGGCCGTAACAATGAGGAATTAGCCCAGGGGGGAGTGGACGGATGGGGGCAGCGTTCCCAAGGCAGAGAGCCTAGGGATGGACCCGGGTGTAGGTGAGTCCCGGTGTGTGTGAGGGCCTGAGGGAAAGCCGGGCTGGAGGGGAAGGCACAGAGCTACAGGGTTTCGGAGGCCTTGACCGCTGGGTTTATCCCAGGAAGCTGAACAGATTTCTGAACAGCAGGGGCTGGCAGGCTCTGATTTCCCATTTTGAAAGGTCATGCTCTGGGTGGAGCGTGGATGGGGGTGGGTCTGGCGGTCAGGTGAGAAAGCAAGGAGGTGGGGGGGTGGGGGCTGCCACCCTCCAGGCAGGGGAAGACCATGGTTTGCACGAAGGGTGGTGGTGGAGGGGGCCAGGAATTTGAGATGAGTTTTGGAGAAACTAAGAACTGAAGGACATATTCGATGTGAGGAGCGAGGAGTAGAGGGCGGCCCCCAGGTTTCCACTGGAGCAGCCGGGCTCACGGAGGGAGGTGCCATTTGTGGCGATGCCCCCCACGGTGAGGACTGGCTTGGGGCAGTAGGTGAAGTTCAGCGTTAGCGCGCCAACTTTGAGAACTACAGGATATGTGTTTGACAAGGTGTAGCTGCTATTATTTATTTCAGGCACTTGTATTAAGTTCAGCTTCCTCATGGGTCTCTTAGAGACTCCCCGAGGACAGGAAGTGAGAGTCCTTTGTCAAAACACTCTCCAGGGACCTCTTATGCACCAAGCACTAGCTGGCTCTGGGATAGAGATAAAGGATGTGGTCCATGTACTTGAGAAACCCTGCTGAACTGCGGATTAGAGCATCCTATATTAAGTGATATCCTGGAAGAATGTGCAAGGTGCTTTGGAAACTCAGGAGGGAATGAATGGGTAGTTCCCAGCTTGGGAAAGCTTTACAGAGACATTGACCTCTGAGTAAGAATTCCCCAGAACAGGGGCGCCTGGGTGGCTCAGTTGGTTAAGCATCCAACTTCGGCTCAGGTCATGATCTCGCGGTTTGAGTTCGAGCGCCGCGTCGGGCTCTGTGCTGACGGCTCAGAGCCTGGAGCCTCCTTCATATTCTGTGTCTCCCTCTCTCTCTGCCCCTCCCCCACTCATGCTCTGTTTGTCAATAGTAGAAACCTTAAAATAAATATATTTAAAGAATTCCCCAGAATGGCCTGTCCAGAAACCAGAAGCTTGAGGGAACATGGCGGGGGGTAAAAAGGATCAATGGAGAGCAGGGAGTATGCACATCTCAATCCGCAACCCCCCCCCCCCGCCCCTGTAAGGTCGTTAGATCTCCAAGGACAAATCTGTGGCCTACTTCTTCCATCTGAGTTCCGGGCCAAGTGCCGGCACAGAGAGGAAACTCACTAAATATCTGGTGACTCCAGTTTCTCTTAAACGCCCCCCGTTTCACACGCAAGAATAAAATCTTCATTTGGTCTTCTTTGCCGATCCTTCAAGTTGGGTTATGACAATGAACTGCCTCTTGGGACCACAACACTGGATGAGGGGACATGGGGAAGGTGCCGGGTGGGGGTGCGGCTAGGAGTTCAGAAGTGGATGGAATAAAGGACGCATTAACTGGGGAATTCTGCAGCAGTGACAGCTCCCATATGGCTCCCCAGCTGTGGGTGAGGTGGGAGAAGGAAGATCGGGGAGACAAGGCTTATTCAGGGCTCACGACGAATGGTCTTAGGATAGAGGCTCTTTCATTACAGATCAAAGAGGCAGATCTATCTTACTGGTTGGGCTGACACCATCTGGCGGCTTCAGCGTGGCCTCTGCTGTCCCCAAAACCTTCCCCGGCACCGCCCTCTCCTCCAGTGCCTTCTTCCCCTCCTTTTAAAGCATCCTGGCCACCCCACTCCCAAAGGATCAGATGTACCCCCCCCAAAAAAATTCAAACCTATATTCCTCTCTCTGTGGAGAGAGGGACACAGAAGCTAAGTGTCATGTAGCCTAGGGAATGAACGAATTGTCTTCTATTGCTGAACACGCACAGCTCTTGCTCCTTCACTCAGCCCCTCCACACTTACTCCCTAGCCCTGCCCTCCATGGCCTCATTCTGGCTGACGGGCCTCTTTCTTTTTTAAAAAAAATTTTTTGTTAACGTTTATTTATTTTTGAGACAGAGAGAGACAGAGCACGAGCTGGGGAGGGGCAGAGAGAGGGAGACACAGAATCTGAAGCAGGCTCCAGGCCCTGAGATGTCAGCACAGACATCTCTGCTTGAACCCATGAACCGTGGGATCATGACCTGAGCCGAAGTCGGCCGTTCAACTGACTGAGCCACCCAGACGCCCCTGACGGGCCTCTTTCTAAGCATCTCCGGGGGGTCTCTGTGTCCTGCCTGCCCTGTTAACCCCGGACGCTGTGACAGCCATCTCCCCATCAGGCTGGGGGCTCCCTGAGGGTAGAAAGTGTTTCATTCCTCTGGAGCTCTCTCCAGTGCTCAGAGCATGACTAAATGCCTGTGTCCCCAAAGCAGAGCAGTTAGTTAAGAGCCACTTTATGCATGAGAATTGATGAAGGACCTGGGACCCCATTCCTCTCCAGGTCAGCAGACTGTGGATTTGGGTTGTTGAGATGGTGACTATGAGTAGGGAAAGGGTGTCTGCCTTTGGGCCGGTGCTGTCCTGCTTACCTGCGCCCCGAAGGCGGGGACCGGGCTGTTTAGAATTTCCCTTTGCGGTTCTGGAAAAGGCCTGGCCTGTTGCTCTGCCAGGCCACTGGGCAGGGTGTCGAGCCCAGGCCGTTCCTGCTGTCTGTCCTGTACCAGAGAAGAAACTACTCACGGTTTGTCCGTTTATTGAGCTCCTACTGCGTTCCAGGCACAGGAGACATAGAAGTGGGTAGCACTCGGCCCTGCTTAGCAGTGAGATGGGGGGGGGGGTGCTGAGTGCTGAGGGGAGGGCAGGGTCGCTCCCAGCTCACAACTGAGACAACAGTGCATTTATGCATCACCATTGCCTAACACCGGAGAGTCCCGGAAGGAACCGCGGTGAGTTCAGGGAGGCCGGGTGGGACACACCAGCGTCGGGCGCAGGAGGCGCACGGAGAGGAGAGCGGGCCTGGCTGCCGTCAGCTGTAATGTCCAGGTTTGGAGACGGGGTTTCGTCCCCTGGGAGGTGTGCAGTGGGCGCTCTCACTCTGACCCCTGGTCTTCGTCCTCTCTGCCTGGGAAAGGTTCTGTGCACGACAGGTGGTTAAAAGAGCCTTGTCTGTCCCCGCCCAGCCCTGGAGGGCTTCCCCAGTCACTCCTCTCTGGGCCCTCTACTTCCCTAACCCCGGGCTCTATGTATTTTGGACAAATGCCAAGTTCATCTGCCATACCGTCCAGTATTCAATCGCAAACAATAAGAGCATAGATGAGCCACCCTTCCTCTATCCTCTCTTAAAGAAGGGCAGCACTAATCCGCTAATCCGATATTTGAGAGGCCAGAGACCTCCTGGAGATGCATAAGGTGTAGGGGACTAGGCAGCAGGAGACCCAGCATTCGCCCCTGCTGTTCTCAGCTCACTGTGTGACTTTGGGCAAGTGGCTTTCCATCCCTGCAAAATGACACTTCCTGCCCGCACTCTGCGTGGAGGGACGTTGACTCCCTTTTGGTACTGAGGTGGCTTCCACAGCCCTTCACGTGGAATCGCTCAAACCTTTAGAAAGGAGTCTTGGGGGGGGCGGGGGTAGGTAGAGGACTTGGCATCTTTATTCCGGAGAGCCTATGCTGGCAGGAGCAGGTGCTCTATCAGGGAAGCCAGGAAGGCCTCCTGGTGGAGGATGCAGCTCCGGAGGATGAGGCCAGGCCTGGGGACTCGACTGGAGCTCAGCATTTCCGACCCGCTCCTACGCCGGCTGGCTCACTTGGGCTTCTGATCGTTCCCCCAGCCTGGTTCCCTTAACTGCCTTCATGCTTGTTCATTCATTTATTGAGTGGACCCATTTGGGGGGTGGCCCCTGCCAGAAGGTGTTAGCTGATGAGCGTAATTTAGGGTGTTCTCCCTCCTGGAGTGATTCACACTCACAATTGTGGAAGGCCGAAAACATCTCCAGACTAAAGGCATGAGTTTCTAACCATCATTGGTTAGGAAGGGAATAAGGTGCGGGGGGAGGGGACGTTCCAGGGTCTGAAAAAACACACATCATTCTTGTGGCTTCCGCGGGTCCTGAGAGGGGAGCAGAGTGCGTCCGGGTGTGTTGGGGATGGACAGGGCCCAGCTGTCCCAGGCCTGGATCATCAAAGGGACCCACCTCCCTGCGGCTCAATTGCTTTCTTCTTTGGGACACCTGCCTAGTGGCTTGTGGGACCCCTGCTGTCTGTCCAGCTGCTGGGGCCCCAGCACGGAGACCGGCAGTGAGGCATCGCATCCGCTTTCTCGTGATGCCCTTGGGAATCCTCTAGAGGTTCTCACCTACCTTCTGTAGAGGGCCCCGCCCCGCCCAGGGGGCCCTGTGCCGTCTGCCCCTGCTGGTGCCCAAGAGGTGGAGCTAGAACAGAGAAGAAAGAGGGCAGCACAGTAAGGCCGTGCTGGGACCCCAGCGGGGCAGGCCAGGCCAGGGCAGCGCTGGGGCCTCACCAGCGCAGTCATCGCTCAAGCCCCCTGCGGGATGGAGAAAGACCGCGTGGAAACGGTTCATTCACTCGCTGATTCATTCACGGATTCCCATCTCTTTCTCCTTCCTTGTCCCCACCTTTGCCTTTCTCCCCACAGGCGCCTTGCGGGCACCTCTCACTTGATAGAGATTCATGTTGTGGGTACAGAGGAGATGGCAGACCTGCTACTGCCCGCGGTGGGAGGGGTTCCACTCCGGGGACACCAGCCGCGTGACCCAGCGGCGCAGGGCAGGGCGGGGTGCCAACGACGGCATGGCGCCCAGGCCACGGCGACCAGCTCCGCCTGGGTAGGGCAGGGGGCGGGGGAAGGAGAGGTGGGGCTCGGAATCAAGTCAGTGAGAGCGGCCCGGGGGATGTGGTGAGTCGCCAGAGCATTGGACTTGATCCTGAGTACTGAGGGTGCGGTGGGGAAAGGTTGGTCGGTTTTCTTTTGATATTCCTCCCTCCCCGCATTTCACCAGGGATTTGGGGCAGGGTACCCGGCTGCGCAGTCTTGCACCTTTCAGCTCCTTCTGGGCTCCGTGTGGGGAATGGATCGGGTAGGTTTTCCAATTCCAGGCTTTAGACCCAAAGTGATCTTGAACCGTCTGCCAAACTAGATTCATCCTGTCTCTTCCTTAACAGACAGGGCAACTGTGCCCCTCCTCTCCCTCCCCATGCACAGACCACGTCTCTAAGGAAACAACCAGGAAGCCTAGTGTGTGGCCAAACCACGCTGGCCCCACCCCCTCCAACGCCAGCCTGGCGTGCCCCCGGCGAGAGCATCTCCCCCACCTCCGACTTGGCAGTGGCTGGGGTAACCCAGCCCTCCCCGGAGAGCATGCTGAGGGGCAGAGCTGGACAGCACTTACCTGTTCTTCTCTCTGGCTGGATAAGAGGTGTTCCTGGGGGGAAGAGACAGAAGGAATGAGGGCCGCACCTAGGGGCGTGGCAAGGCAGGAAGGGCTCATAGCTCTTTGGGGGCTCAGTACCTTTGGTGGGTCATCAGTGGAAAACCACTCACTTCCCCTTGTCCTGGTGTGGCTGGGCCACTTGGCTACTCTGGGGAGGGGACAGCGTGGGAAACTGAGAAGGGGCCCAGGCTTGGGAAGCACTGGTGCCTTACTCCAGTCTGGCAGCCTTGGAAAAGCACTGCATCCGTCTGAACCTTAGTTTCCCCGCTGGTGATAAAGGGAATGCTGTTGTAATGTGTCCTCATATCCGAGCACACTAGGGGCTCAATAAATCGTTCTCTTCTATCCCCACCCCCTGTTCCTCGTGGGCTGTTGGGTTGGGAAGAGAACCCTGCAGGCGCCCAGACCCAAACACATCTTGTGGAGGAGGAAACGAAGGCCAGAAGTGTTCGGTCACAAGTTGGTTTTCTCTGTTGTTGTTGTTTTTGTTTTTTTTTTTATGTGCATAGGTTTTTGTTTTTTTTTTAAATTACAAAAGCAGTCTTTGAGTACATGCCTACTATAAAAAGAGTTAAGTAATGAGAGGTTTGTAGAGTAAAAATTAAAGTCCCTTTTACTCTCTTCCCCTCACCTCCACTTCCCAGCCTAGATGTAACCACTACTGACGGTTTGATATCTATCCTTCTAGAAATTTCCCTACGTATTTGCGCATATGTATATGTACGTGTAAGCATGTAGTTGTTAAGAAACCAAAAACGGGGGCGCCTTGGGGGCTTAGTCGGTTAAGTATCTGACTCTTGATGCCCTCACCCTCAGGGTCGCTGCACCTCCACATGCCAGAGACAGCCCTGGTGTAAAGAACTCTCCACAAAGTGCCGGTGTTTGACGATCATTTATACGGACACTCTATCCCACGGGCGACCCCTACCGGCCTGGGGTCTGGGCTCGAACCCGCTCCTGTGTGGGCAGCGCCCACCTTTGTCACTCACCTCCCACCCGCTTCCCCATCAGCCCAAAGAACTGGCTCGCTTTGCCCTTCTTCACCTCCTGAAGTGGGAGCTGAATGAGAGGGATGCCACCATCCTGGAGAAGCAGAGGTTCATCGTTAGAGGCTGGAGACGAGAGGGGGAGGGCAGCCTGAGCCACAGCAACGTCATGACACTTGCTCTGTGCGGGCACGTGGCTCTGGCGTGTTCCTTACCCAACACTGTGCTTAGACACGACCATAAATAGCTAACGTTCTGCGTACTACGTTCTTCACACTGTTCCCCGTACTTCCGTGTGTGATCTCATTTAATCCCCACTGAAACCACACCAAGTAAGAACTGGAATGGGCACCAGGTTACAGACAAGAACACCAAGGCACGGAGAGATGAGTTTGTCCAGAGATGGGGCCAGAACTTGAATCCAGGTCACCAGGCTCAAAGGCTCAAACACGGCAGCCCAATCTTACTTACTCTTCACAACCACCATAGGAAGTAGTGATTTTGCCTTATCTCCACTCTACAAATGGGGAAACGGAGACTTAAGGAGGGTACGTGACTTGTCCAAGGTCACACGGGAAGTGGTGGGGGCAGGATTCGAACCCAAGGATTCTGCCTCCAGAACCTGAGTTCCGCTCCGTGTTAGAGCATATCTCCAAGCACAGACAAGGAGGGGCAGCTGATGAACTCACGGTGGGCACCCCATGGGCAAGGTGGGATTGCTCCCCCTGCACCCCCACTCTCACTGCTGCTCCCCCCACATCCCCCCATGTGTACCTACCTACCCCACAGCCTGGGTCTCCCGTGTGGAACATGGCATGTGGCCTGGGGTGGAGGCCACTAACCTGGGCAGAGACATTTTCATCCTTGAGCTGATGGGGTGCAAGTTCTGGGTCAAGGGCCATGGACTGAAGTTCTCATTTTCCCATCAGCCTTTGTGATGCTAGCCAATGCCATCTCACTTTCCAGCCTTAACCTGAGCCCCCAAAGGGCTTGCTCAGCTCTGCGGAGAGGGGGAGCTGCTTGCTAGTGGAGAGAGCGACAGTGGGGGACAGTCACTAGACCGTCTCCACATCTCTTTGTGCCCAGTGCCCGGCACAGAGCCTAGACCACAGCCTGTGAGGGATACCGAAAGCTGAAGAGGGGCCCTTCCTCTGGCAGTCCGGAGGAGGATAGGGGTCTCCTTTTCCAGGCAACTGGAGCCCTCAAGTAACACAAGCCCCCTGCCAGGAGGCCGGGAGCCCAGCTTGTGTCAGGGGCTCCCTCATCCCTCCCCAGCTTCCCGGGGGCGGTGCTGGAGCTCCCAGAAATGGCAGGCACCTGGCCGGGAGGCAGCGGACCCCACTTGGCCTCTCGCAGCTCATCTGGTCTCGACTTTCAGGACCAGAGTGGATTGTCGTCTAAGCCCCGGACTGATTCAGTCACTGACAGTCTGTCTCCTCCAGGGCTGGGGCAGCTGTCTCTGGCTGAAGTCGCCTAGCCTGGCCAGGAGCCGGAAGAGTCTCCTTGGAGATCTGGACCCATTTTTTAAAAGCTCATGCAAACCACTCTGCCTGGGTAAAAGGCGGCCTTCAAATGTAAGCTGGGGAAAATGGCTATTTACGAAATTAAATGAGACTTACCCCTCTCTCGCCCTCCTGGGTGTCCGGACACTGGTTCCCTTTCTCTGGGGACAGACCCCTCCCCCACCCAAAACCCTCCTCATGCATTGAACCCAACCCCCCAACTCCAGGGACAGCTCCCGGGAGGGGATCTCTCAGAGCTGGGGAGGTGACAAGTCATCCTGACACTGCCTTGTTCCTTCTGTCACCTCCCTCATGGAAATGGTTCCTCTACTCCCGGCCCTGTGTGTCAGGAAACAGAATACGCATAAGACCCAGCTGCAGGGGGAAGTACCGGTGGGTGGAAAGCCCTGCAGACCCGGTGAGGTGGGTGCTGTTTCTCACATGGCCGCATAGAGAGCTCCCCGCCACGGTGTCCCTGGGCCTGGGCCAGGTCCCGTGATGCTCAGCAAACGATGGAAAGACTTTTGGGGTTCATCTCCCCTCGCCTCCCATTTTACAGGTGAGGAAACTCACAGCCAGAGGGCAGCCATGACCTTCCTAAGGTCGCACAGAGTCAGTGGAGAAGCTGGGACTTGAACCCAGGTCTGCCCACCCCGCTGCCTTCTCGACTACACGCGCTTCCACGTTTGGAGAAAGCAAGGAACCCTGGAAATCCACTACGAACGGCTGTTCCTTCGATGGCTCTGCCCAGTGACCCCAGGGTCCTGACCATCCCGGGACTGGGAGAGCCAGGCTCAGGCTTGCCCCTGCTGCCCTCCTAAACCCCTTCATTGAACACTGGTCCTGTTGCTCTGTTGGCCTCGCTTCCCTGTCCGGGAGCTGCCCAAGGTCAGGATCTTTGCCTTCCCAATGAGGCAGAGCCGGGGGCACAGCTGTGCCTAATTTTTGGATTTCTCCCCAGGTTAGTAGAAGACACTGGCAATCAAACCAAATACCTAAGAGTTTCTATATAGGAGATGCAACAGTGACCCTGCCCCTTGAAAGGAAATTCTAGAAAATGTCCTCTGATGGACAGATACACTGAACCCAACCTTGCGGAAATGTGCAGTTGTGCTTCTGAATCTGCATAACCTTGGAAAGACTGTTTGACCTTTCTGTGCCTCGGTTTCCTTATCTGTGAAATGGGGATAGTAACGGTACCTTCTCCACAAGGCTGATATGAGGATTAAACTGGAGAGTATTTACGAAGCATTTAGGACAGTGCCAGGAACATAGTTTAAGGTGAAACAAACACACACTAGGATACACACACACACTCTCACACACACATACACACACACTCATACACTGTTGCTCCCGTGTACGTGTGCCCCTTCAGACATCTGCCAGGCCAGGGGCCCCGGCCTTGAACCTGCCCACAGAGAGAGGAGTCAGACAACATGGCTGACAACGTACACCCTGCTCTCCGGGCAACCGCAGAAGGGATCTTCCGTCCCCTCCGCCACGGGCCAGCCCCTGCCTCACCCCAAAGGTACCTCCAGGGTCACGGTTACCCAGGACCGTGCTTCAGCTCCGAGTGCCAGGTCCTCATCAACTGTCCCAGCGCACACAGACAGCCCCATCAGGAGAAGCAGGGGAAGGTAGGGCAGCATGGTCAGTACCGCTCCGTCCCGGGACCCTCTGGGAGCCCCTTCTGCCCGTAGATGCTGCCTCCAGGCCTGGGTCCTCTCTCTGCCTCCCTTCGTGTGTGTGTGTGTGTGTGTGTGTGTGTGCGCGCGCGCGCGCGCATGTGAAGCTCCACCTAGTCTCCGTCCTTCCTGCTACCTGCTTTTCCTTGGGCTTATCTGGCCCCTGGGGCCACTTCCTGTGACTCTCTTCCCTCCCTCCCCGGCTGGAAAGGCCAGCGATACCAAAGAAGGAACCAGACTCTTCCACTGCCGCTCCGCCACTTGATCCCAGGGCTCAGCGCTCTGATGCAACACCCGCCTGGCCTTTGGCTGCATTCCCCTGGTGGCACAATGAGGCACTGTGTGGGGCCTGGCTATAAGCCCAGGGGGCGGGGGGGGGGGCTTGTCACCCTGGAAATGGTGGGTGACAAGGGAGGGGTGACTGTGTGGCTCCTCCCTGCCTGGGGCTCTGCTCCCCTGTGAGAGGCCTCTCCCCAGATCTTATTCTACTGCTTGCCTCCCCATCGTGGAGCCCCCCCTTCCCGACGTTCCCCTCTGTCAAGAGTCCCCAGGTGTGTACAGAAACACGCGTCCCACCCCAAGAGAAGGAATGCAGCGCTTCAAGGGATGGGACTCCTCACAAGGGAGGACTGGGACTCGCCAGAAAAATGGCCTCCTGCTGAGGTGTCATCAGCGCTGCTGTCAGAGCGATATTTCTAGAACCCTGACCTGACTGTCTCTCCCTGCTCACAGCCTTCTAGTGTCTCCCCCCCTCCACCCCCACCGCCATGGCCCCTGGCATAATGTTTAAGTTCCCCTAGCATGGCACTCAAGGCTTTTCTCCACTTAGTTCCTCCCTGTCTCCTATCCATCCATCCATCCATCCATCCATCCATCCATCCATCCATCCATCCATCCTTTGGTCCATCTGCCAGTGGAAGGCAAGGGCCCTGCGGTCGGAGACCTGAATTCCAATCCCAGCCCCACCACTAAACAGTTGTGTGCCCTTGGCACATTACTTAACCCCTCTATACCTTAGAATCCTCATCGGTAAGATGAAGTTAATAATAGCACTTGTTTCCAAAGTTGTTGGAGGATGACATGAGATCATGCATGTGAAGCGCTCAGCCCCGGGCGCAACGCTAAATATTTCACACCGTTCACTATTATTACTGTTACTATTATTGACCGGGTGAGGCGCTGGGCCACAGGGGCTGTCACTCCTGTCCTCCAGAATCTCACAGTCCAGGAGAGGAGACCTCTGGCTGGCAGGTAAAAGCTATGTTCGGCGTGGTATGTGCCGGCCTGGAGGCGGGAGCCAGAGAGGGGCTTTGCTTTGACCTTGGCTGTTGCCTCTGCCTGGGCTTCCTGCTCCACCTGCCATATTCCCACCCAGCCTTAAAGGTCCCGCTTCACGGTCACCTCCACGGCAGAGTTTTTCTGCGTCTGTTCCTGACTCCAGCAAGGATCGATGGGCTCTTTTCCTCCGCTTTCCCAGTATCTCCTGCTTATATCTCTTGCAGCTCTGCACGGAGGGGGGTCTGGGGGGGCACGGGAGGGTGCAGGGTGTGTCCTGTACGGAGCGGCAGCCGGCGGGGAGAGCGGATGTGAAACCCAGCCCTGCATCTGTTCACTGAGCTGCACAGCCTGGCTCGAGGCTTTGCTCTCCTGGAGGAAGGTACTTGGCTCCCCTTCTCCCGGAGGGGACGGCCGGGCTGAGGGTAGCCATGCTGCTCGGCTGCGTTATGCCTCAAACTCTCTGAGCACGGGGCTGTGATATACATGTGCTTGGCACGCAGTGGGTCCTTAAGAAAAGTGCAGTCAGGGGGCACGTCAGTTATTGAGCCCAGGTCATGATCTCGAGGTTCGTGGGTTCCAGCCTCACATAAGGGCTCTCTGCTGTCCGGGCAGAGCCCGCTTCTGATCCTCTGTCCCTCTCTCTCTCTGCCCCTCTCCGGTCCTCTCTCTCTCTTAAAAATGAATGAATGAATGAATGAATGGAAGGAAGGAAGGGAGAGAGGGATGGAGGGAGGGAGGAAGGAAGGAAGAAACGTAGTGACTCTGAGTCTAGGCCAGTGAAGACAGACATGGATAAGGCAAGTGCGGGGTTGGGGGAGGACACCGCCCCTCCACCCTTCCAGCCTCCTCCCTCCCTCCTCCCCCTCCATCCCCTCCCCCGTCCCCTCCCCCTTCCAATCCCTTTGGTGGATCCTGATGGCTTTAGAACCTACCTGTGCTAAAGTACAGAGTCCCTAGCTCGGCCCTAGTCTGGCAGTCAGCCCTGGTCTCTGGGTCTGTCTCAACCCTCCAGGTGACAGCCACTCAGCCTCCCACTGAACCTCCCCAAGGACCCCGCATTCCACCTTTGTTGGCAGGTTCTTCCTTACAGGGAGCAGAGTTGCCCCTTCAGTCTCCATTTTACAGATGAGGACACTGAGGTGGGCTGGGCTTGCCCTAGGTCACAGTAAGACCTGGCGGCAGCTGGCCTCCGGGACCCCAGGCAGCTGCTTCCCACCTCCCACGAGGGCCTCAGCCTGTAAGGGCAGGGGACACAGGGCTGGAGACGGTGACCGCATGGACCACTGCACCGGGACACGGCTTCCCATTTCACAGGCCCAGACCGGGTGACCCGAGGACTTCAGGAGATTCCCGGGGCCCCAGTTTCTCCATCTGCAAACCGGAGCTGCTAGGCCTTAGGCGGTGGTGACGAGTCCATGATTCCCTCCGCGCTCCCCCCTCCCCCCCCACAGGTGCTAAGAGCTCAGCGAGGTGCCTGGCGGGGACCTAGTAGGCGCTCAACGAATCCGAACCTATTTCGTTGTGATCATTCGACTTCTGGAACCCTGGGCCTCGGTGCTGACTCCCGGCCCCGCCAGCAGAGAAGCCACCCCGCGTGGGACAGGATGTGGCGGGTGCACAGCGGGGAGGAGGCGGGGGGGGGGGGCACGGGGCAGAGGAGAGGGCGGCGGGAAGAAGGGAGAGAAAATCCCAGAGGTCCGGAAGGCCGGGAGGAAGGCAGGGCACGGGTTGGAAACCGCGGCTATTTGCAGCGTTGCCTCCGGGCTGCGGTCGGGCTGGCGCTCGCGGCCCTGGCGGCCGAGCCCGCCGCCCCGCCCGGTGCCCTCGGCCACCCGGGCACGGCCCTGGCCCGCGCGCCCCGTCCTCGCGGCCCCGGCGGCCGGAGGGCTGGGGCCGACGGCGCGGAGCCGGGCGCGACCCGGGAGGGCTGCGTGGAGGCGGCTGCGGGCGGGGCGCGGGTGGCCGTGGGGCCGCGGGGCGGGGCGCGGCCGCGGCGAGGCTCCCGGGGCGCCGGGTGGGCGCGCAGGATTGCTAAAGGCTGCGGTTTGGCAAGGACCGCGGAGCCCAGAAGAGAAAGGGCGCAGGAGGGAGGGAGTTTTTTAAAGCTGAGGGCGAGCAGCGAGGAGGGGAAACGCGAGACGAGGGCGGGATGCGGGCAGGAAGCTGACGTTTCCCGAGCGCCCACTCTGGCCCCAGGAGGAGGGGGGATGGGGGCCGCGCGCCGTGGACAAGGCCGCCCCGGGATTCGAACCTGCCGCCGCGTGCTCTTTCGCCTTGACTGAGAACGCAGACGCGAGCCGGAGGGGGAGCGGCGGGGCCCGGAGCGAGGAAGAAGGGGGGCTGGGAGGGGAGAATGGTGGTGGAGGTGAGGGGCTCCAGGGCGGGGTCGCGGCTGCCCCGTGGGGACCCTTGCGGGGAGGGGGCGGCCGTCAGGGTGGCGGCCTGGTTCCACCACCCCAGATGACGCCACAGGGGTCCTGCCTGTCTTTCCCACGCCCTTTCAGCGCCCCCATGTGGCAGTTTTTCCTGAAGCCTGAGCTCCCCTCCTAGGTCTCGGAGGTTGGCGGGTCCAGGCGGGGCAAGAGCTGGGTGCTGGTCCCCACGGCCTGTCCTCCGGATAGAGGAACAGGAGGTAAAGGAGAGGCTGGGCCGCCGGCGTGGGCCGTCTAAGGGAGGGCAGTGGGTGAAAGCGGCCGGAGTGCCGGATTGGGCACAACCCTCTGAAAAAGGCAACTCCCCCGCCTCTCGGAGGTTACCCTCGCGCACTGGGGTCATCGATTCCGGATTTCCTGCGCGCCTTGCAGCATGGGAGTTGTTCCAGAACAGAGCTGAAAGAAGCCAACGAGCGTTTGTAACAGTAACCCAGTGTGGAAAGCGCCACGCAAGGGGCATTTGGGGACACACGACGATTCCCAAACCTCCCTTAGCCACATTTATGGTGCAGGTGCCCTGCAGACATTTGTCCTAGACAGGACACCCTGGGTTTGGCAAAGAGCCAGAGTGCAGATGAAGCAGGCAGAGTGGTCCTCTGTGCCCCGAGGTTGTATGTGCAGATATCTCTGCCCAGACTCATGCCAGACATTTGGGCCCGAGCCTACCTCGGTTTTGACCTCTAGCCTTTCAGTTGTGGGACGAATATCTCCGGAAAGAGCTGGTGTTATTGCTGGTGTTTTGTTTCCGAAAGAAATTCTCAGAGTCCCTAGAATGAACCAGAACAGTCTCCGACCTCACCCTGATGGTCAGGCACCTCCCCCACCAGGAAAGGCACATCCCGGGTCCTGGGGCCCCCCCGGAGGAGGGGGCGGGTCCTGGAATCATGTCACCCTGTCTTCTCACCTTTCTCCATAGGGCCTTGGCACCCACTCACATCTTTTTTTTTTTTTTTTTTTGCAGTTGGGCTCTGTAAGGACAGATGAAGAACACAGTGGGGCAGGGGGAGTATTTGTCTTCAAGAAGGATTTAAGTGAAGAGGAGAAGCAAGCCATTAAGAATAAGCCGTTAAGAATAAGATTCCGGGTTCAAGTTCTGACCCCATCACTTACCATCTGTGTGACTGCGGCAAGTCATTTAACCTTTTTGAACTTCACTTACCTTATCCATAAGGTGGGGATAATAAGATATTCACTCCAAAAGGCTGTTGATTTGTTTCAATGAGATGATGCATAAAAGAACTTCATGCAGCACCTGGCACACTGTAAGCCTTAATAAATGGTAGCAGTTTATTGCCATTAATCATATAATTAAACAATAACCCTTGTCCATGTTTTATGGGAAAGCTCAGATTAAGGAAAGTGATTTCAGGCATTGCTTGATATTTTGCCATCAGACTGAGAGTTTCCTAAACATGGGGACTGGGTGTCACCTGTCAGACTAGGAGTTCCCCTGTGGCCAGGTCTCCTAGACAAGGTTCAGTGAGCCAGGTTTTAAAGGTAGGGCTCAAGGGTGCCTGACTTCGGTTCAGGTCATGATCTCACAGTCTATGGGTTCGAGCCTCGTGTCGGGCTCTATGCTGACAGCGCAGAGCCTGGAGCCTGCTTTGGACTCTGTGCCTCCTCTCTCTGCCCCTCCCCTGCTCACACTCTGTCTCTCAAAAATAAATTAAAAAAATTTTAAGCATTTATTTTTTTATTGAGAAACAGAGACAGATTGCAAGCAGGGGAAGGGCAGAGAAAAGGGGAGACAGAACCCGAAGCAGGCTCTAGGCCCTGAGCTGTCAGCACAGAGCCCGACACGGGGCTCAAACTCACGAACCGCAAGATCATGACCTGAGCCAAAGTCAGACGCTTACGGAGTGAGCCACCCAGGCACCCCTGAAAAATAAATTTTAAAAAAGGTAAAACAAAAATAAAGGTAGGGTTCAGAAGCTTCGGGCCTGAGAGCGGAGGGAGGCGGGTGAACCCCCCTTGTAGGGGGGTGTGTGGGTTCAGGTCCCACATCTGTGGGGTGGGAAGAAGTCTCTCTTCTGAGTGTCTGCTTCTCCCAGGCATCCAGAGTCTGACCCCATTAGTGGGAGAAGAGAAGCTCAGATATAAATTGGGCTTCCTGGATGTTGGTTAGCGAGTGTGGGAGAAAAGTGAACAGCTAATTGAAAATATAATTATGGTGCACTGTCCTTTGTCTACCGAGCGGAGCCTCCAGATCCCAGTGTCTGCGGAAGAGTTTGTTTCTCAAGCCCTGGAGGACTCTGGAGCCAGCCACCCAGAGCCAGCACCCACGGGTTGGGTAACTTGGCAGGCTGGGGCTCAGCCAGAGGCTCAGGACTGAGCCTCCGTCCTGCTCTCCCTGACCGCTGTCTGGAACACCTGAGCTGATGGAGCTCCCAGAAGAATGCTGAGTTCAGGAAGCCCTGAGCAGGCTGCCGGGGGAGCCGGGGAGCCGGGGAGCCGGGAGGGAAGAGACGAGGCCGGGCTGGGGAGTGTGAATTTCATCCAGCAGACATGGGAAGTCACTGAAGGCTTTCAGAACAAAGGATTGGGGCGCCTGGGTGGCTTAGTCGGTTAAGCGTCCAACTTTCGCTTAGGTCATGATCTCGCGGTTCGTGGGTTCGAGCCCCGCATCGGGCTCTGTGCTGACTGCCAGCTCAGAGCCTGGAGCCTGTTTCAGAGTCTGTGTCTCCCTCTCTCTCTGACCCTCCCCTGCTCACGCTGTCTCTCTCTCTCTCCTAGAAATAAATAAAAATATTAAAAAAAAAAAAAAGAACAGGATTTATGGGGGGATTTTGTTGTTGTTGCTTTTTCCTTCCTGGGTTCCCAAAGCCTCCTCTGCAAGGGGTGACCAGGAGGAGGGGCTCAAAGTGGGGAGGAGTTGGAGACAGGAGAGCCTGGTAGGAGGTAATGGGGATCCTCCAAGGAGACAGGGCAGCGGGGAAGAGGGCTGGCTCGGAGCATTGCAGGGGTGTCGGCAGGTCTGAGCCCTGGAGGGACAGAGGGGGCCCCTGGGATGATGAAGAGGAAGGAAAACAGGTCGCGGAGTGTGGGGAGGCGCTGGTGGGTGTCAGTTTGGACAGTCTGACAGTTTGAAGTGTCTGTGGGTGGACCTGGGGGGGACCAGGAAGGGCTCGGAGCTTAGAGGACAAGGTCATAGAGCTTTAAGAGGTCAGTGTGCGACGATGGTGAGGCCAGGGGAGAGCAAGACAGCCCAGGGAAATCTCGAGTGAAAGGGATGAGGCTGGACATCTGAGCAGCCTCAATATTTAAGAGGCAGGTGATCAGGGCACGGGGCAAGAGACTAAACAGGAGAAATTAGAAGGGTGGGTGCCTGGGGCACCTGGTTGGGCCTTCGACTTCGGCTCAGGTCACCATCTCGTGGTTCGTGAGTTCGAGTCCCACATCTGGCTCTCTGCTGCCAGCAGGGAACCTGCTTCTGATCCTCTGTCCCCCTCTCTCTCTGCACCTCCTCCACCTGTGCGCTCTCTCTCTCTCTCTCAAAAATAAATTTAAGGGGGAAAAAAAGGGGGGTTGGGTGCCTGGCAGAGAGGAGAGGTACAGACATACAGGCAGGAGATGCTTACGGAAGATACGTATGGATGTGAACAAATGTGAACGTTAATGCCTAGAAAAAGCACCGCAGAATACACACAGGCAGTTGGCGGTGGTACTTTCGGGATGGGCAGTGGGTAATGGGGGTTTCCATCATCTATTCCATATCCTAACGTCATTTGAATATTTTACAGTGAGATACGTGCATGCGTTACTTTCACAATTTAAAACATTCACAGTTGAATAGGAGGAGGCCTGGGCGGCTCAGTCAGTTGAGAATGTCTGACTCTGGGTTTTGGCTCAGGTCATGGTCTCATGGTTCGTGAGCTCGAACCCTGAGTCAGGCTCTGCATTGTTAGTGTGGAGCTCGCTTGGGATTCTCCCTCTCTCCCTGCCCCTCCATGCTCATGCCCTCTCCCTCTCTCAAAATAAATAATAAATAAACTTAAAAAAAAAAAAGATTCTCTCTCTCTCTCTACTCCCCTTCCCAGCTTGCGCATGCATTCTCTCTCTCAAATAAAAATAAGTAAATGAGGGGCGCCTGGGTGGCTCAGTCGGTTAAGCATCTTACTTTGGCTCAGGGCACGATCTCATGGTTCGTGGGTTTGAGCCCCGCGTCGGGCTCTGTGCTGACAGCTTACAGCTGGAGGCTGCTTTGGATTCTGTGTCTCCCTCTCTCTCTGCCTCCCCCCTGCTCACACTCTGTCTCTCTCTCTCTCAAAAATAAATAAACGTTAAAAAGTTAAACAAACAAAATAAGTAAATGAATTAAGCAAGACAGGAAGGATTCAAACTACCTATTAACAGGAGAAGGGATAGATCAATGGTGGTTGTGGAATATTACACAGCAGTGAAAATGAACGGATTAGAATGTGGACATCAACTTGGATAACACTCATCAAGTATTAAGCAGGGAAAGTGAGTTGCAGCAGATACCTATAGTACCATTCCATGTGTGTAGAATTTAACAACATGGATCCATAGTATAAATGGATATGTAAACATGTAGTGTGTGTGTGTGTGTGTGTGTGTGTGTGTGTGTGTGCGTGTGTAATACGGACATGGAAAATACTCATGGGAATCCTAGATACATTCAGGAGGGAGGTTGCGTATGGGAGGCGGAGGAGAATTGAAAATACACATTTTAATGTGCCAGATATTAATTATTAAGCCATTTTGAAAAACCAGAAGGGCAATATGAAAAATCACAGGGGAGAGAGGTTTTAAGGAAGGGGCAGGGTCAGCAGTATGAAAAGTAAAGTCGGGGCGGCAGGTGGAGCCTGGGTTGCCCTGGGGCAGGGGGTGCCCACCAGCGCTTCAGGCCCAGAGGCAGAGGGTCTGCTCCAGTCAGTGTTTCTGCTAAGAGCCCTGACCAGAAGGTTCTGAGACCCATTCTCAGCCAGGGTCCAGCCCTGGGACACATGAGGGGGCACTGAGGGCCTTTGGTGTCGCTGCTGCTGATGTGGGAAGCTGTCCTCGTCTCTCACCAGAGAGTAAATGCAGTTATCACCCTGGGAAAGACTCCTTGAGGACCAAAGGGGTGACAGCAGCCCTGGCGGTCCCTGCCGCTGGAGGCGGAGATTGGCCCTGAGGCAGGGGGATGACCATGATGACTTCGGCAGGAGTCAGTGAGTCTCTGGCGCCCAGGGGGCGGGTGGGCGAGGACAGTGTTGAGGCTTGAAGGTCTGAGGAGGCAAAAGCCAAATCCTGGTGCCCAGGCATGGAGAGTGGGCGATGCCCAGGCTTGGCAGACAGCGGGCTGAAAGATGCGCTGCCAAGCTGGGGTGAGGGGCTGCCAGGGCCGGAGATCAGAGGAGTGGATGGGGGAGGGCCCAGACACTGTCAGGGCTTGAAGCAAGAGGCCGCCGGGGGCAGGGTTGGGGGGGGAAGAGGGGGATCAGTGGAGCCAGGGGGGGCGGCGGCCAGGAGGAAGTGGGTAGTGCCAAGGGAGCAATGGTAAAGAGCTAGTGCCAGCTTGGGGCTGGGGGTTGGGGGGAGGGAGCCCCAGAGCTTACTCTTTCCCCCTGGTCTTGTTCAGTTTTGCGACAAAAACAGATACCTCTGTGGGTGAGTTATAAAGCCCCTGTTGGGGAGTTTCAGAGTTCACAGGGCCCTCCGCGGCCATCTTTTCCAGTCTCTTCTTTGCACAGATGGGGATAATGATGCTCACGGCGGGGGGGCGGGGGCTGGCCTTTCCAGAGCCACCCAGTGAGGCTAGTGACAGGACCTGGACCCGACCTGCCTGCGTGTCCTGGTCCATATCAGACCTGTGGGGTGCTGGGTCCGGGGCTAGCAGGTGGGGGGTGGGGGTGCCTGGAGTGATGGACTCCAGTCTTAGCCAAGGAAGTCAGTGGTCCTGGCTGGGAAGCGGGAAACACATCCAAACCCAGCCAGCAGTGGAAGGTCACACGCGCCCCTGGGGAAAGGTTCTGGGGCAACAGCGGAGTGTACCTCCTGGGACCTGGGACCTTTGGAAGAGGGTGGGGCTATGGAAGCTGTGGCTTCGGTGTGGGGGGGGGGTGATGGGGAGGCACTAAATACATTAAGAATTTACT